TTTCACGCAATGTTCTCAGCCACGTTTGGAAGATTCTCAGAAACAGTTGCTACAGCTCTCAAAACTTTTCAGAAACCAAGGAAAAAACTTGCTGCGCACAGCCTTCTGGACAAAACTTCACAGCCTGCTGCCTAATTGTAGCATGGCTTTCTGGTCTGGTCACCTTGTTAGACAGAGCTACTGGAGACTGGATGCTTTGGCCCAGCCCCAGCATAGTGTTTCAGCTTTACAGGGCTTAAGTCTATGCTTGGGTGAACTGGAATCTATCGAGGCAACTACCGCATCCTACGGAAAACATATCTCACAGTATCAGAGGAGTTTATTTCTACGCTAGGACTATTTTGTAATAGAACCCTCCCTAAAAGAACAGTTCTGTAAAATAAAGTATTTTGTTTATTGCACATCAGCTCCCAATTCTAAAAATGCGTGTATTTTCTGGAATGCTGTAGCCACGTGAGGCGAGCTGAAGGATAAGTACGAACTCGTACAGTTATGTCTCGGTCTTGAAGGTGATCTTCCATGTAGAAAGTAAGGGAAGTTCCTATGGGTTTGTTTTCCGTGAGAAATGGAGCCTCGGCATGGTAGAACCTCCAGAGATACTCGACATACTGTTCTGTATTGTATTACTGGGAGCTGGCGAGAAAATTAACCTATCAACAAGCCAAAACCGCTGGTAGCAACTAACGTCGCCTCCCTTGCTCATGACAGATGAGCCCTTGGTTTCCTGCAACAGCCTGGCACCGGGGCGAATACACTGATGGGAAGGAAAAGGCCGTAATTGATGTGGGGCTGGGGGCAAACGGTACCCTAACAGCAGATTTGTTTCCAGAGGCTTGCCTTAGAAATAGGTTAATCCATCAGATTAACCAACTTTTTCTTATCCTTTTCCCAAATGAGCTCCTGCCCTTTAAAGTGATTCTCTCCAAGAGCTGCTTGAATTTACCGGAACTGCCCAAAGCCTCCCAGATTCATGGGTTTTCCCATCATCTTTTTTTTTTTTTTGTTCCACATGCCATAACCCAAAAATTGAAGAAAAATTTCAGAACCACACCCCTAGTCATAAAGTTAATACTGTAACAGCCCTTTCCCCCAGCTGAAAAAGCACCTCCTGGATAAAACTGCGAGATGCGAGGAACTACTTTGTAGAACTTGCACGGAGACATCTCCTCAGAAAATTAGGAGAATTTTCTCCCTGAAGCTATTTAGCAAAAAGCAAATGTTCCTTTGCAAGGCTCATTTCTATACTTCTGCATCTGGAAAACAAATGGCATCAAAACTTTTTTTTTTTTTTTTTGAGAAAAGATGCTCCTGAAGAGTGCAAACCATAAACGTGCTGCTTCAAAATTGTAAGACATGGCTATATTCCAACAGAGGTCCAGCAATAGCAGGGGCTGTCGTGACTGCAGTGCTAAGCCTGGTAGGAGATACTTGGTTTAGACAGCAGCAGCACTAACAGCCATTGCCAGACTGCTGCTGCCATCGTGCATTTAGCTGGAAAAGATCCAAGGGATCAAAAAATGGAATCCTCCAATCTACAAGTCCCAACCAACTCTTAAAATGAACCACAAGCTGCACAGTTAAAAATTAATTCAAGACAAGAGGACCCCTCAACTCCAGCTCTAACTATTCCGCTTACTTGTCCACAGGCTGGAGAGGAGACTTGTTTTTTCCAAAGCTTATGCTTTTTGCACACATTCCAGTGGAGCAATTGCTGATGCACTCACAGGTACGCAGTTTTTCTGTCTTCAGTGAAGCTGTGTATAGGTACTTCATCGGGCAAATCTGGCCAGATGCTGGCGATGCTGAAGCCAGAGCAAAATGTCACTTTCTCATTTGTGTTACCTCTGCAGTAATGGTAGTTACAGGAACGTGCTATCAGTTTTACCCAGTTTTAGCACCAAAAGTGTAAAGAGTGTTAGGTTTTTGGTTTTCTTTTTTAACCTGAAACTTGTTGAAGAAATACACCTAAACTATCATACAGCAAAATAAATTGCGTGCCCTTTACACACTTTGGAATGCAAGTCTGGAGAGGAATTAATAGACACTGTTGCTTCAAAACATTCAGACATGAAAATAAGCGCATAACAATGTTTATTCGCAGTCTCCATTATCTCCAATCCAGCGTTCACCACTTTTCATACATGAAGTACCAGAGGTGCTTTCTATACGTACTCCGCCTCAATTGAAAAGATTTTACAGTTTTATTTATCTAAAGCATTTGGTCAAGACTGGCTATTGCTACACAACTATTTACCCAATTCTCTGGCCTCTGTACCAGAAGTGGGAAGAGAAGCACTGAGTGGCCAACTGAAGAGTTATCAAAAATCTTCAAGAACCAGAAACTCCTAAGAAACAACCATGGAAAGAGGAGTGTTGGCTGCAAGATCTTTATTTCTTCCATAAAAGAGGAAGGACTACATCATCTAAGCAGAGAGCTTCCGAATTCTATTAAGCAAGATGGTTCAAGCTATATCCACAGTTTTTAGGGGACAAATAAATAGCCTTGCCCCAAACAGCAACCATAAAGACAAGCTGTTGAGAACCGGTCACATTTCGCACTCCTTCAGAAACCAAAAGGAAGGGGGAAAACAAAGCAACCCCCCCCACTTACTCACGTGCTAGGGTGGAAGTATAAAAATATCAATGATTTAAACACAGTACTCCTCCAGAGGAACGTGCTGGCAGAAACAAAAGCAATGCCTGTGCAGTAAGCATCTTTTCAATGCCACTTTAAAAGCTATAGAATCCTATCTGGATATGCAAAAGCTTATTAGCTTTATATGCCAGAGGATAGAGAAAGCAAGTAGGCAGCCCACCATTCTGTGGCAAAAAAGTGATTAAATGAAATTCACAAACGGTTTAGTGACATTTCTGATAGACTAATCATATAGCAGCACTCTAAATAGAGAAACAGACCCATTATCAAAATATTTCCTTTAAAAAACTTGTATCTCAGGGGAGTACTTAATGTATTTATTGTGTGAAGATAACGGCTTCTCACTTCAGATTTAGAAGAACATGGATGAAAAGAGGGCTTCCCACAGCTGTATGCACTAGCGAGAACTAGTGCAAACCCCACTCTTTGCTTTAAGTCTCCATGTTTTGGAACAAAGGAAAACTAATTGTTGACCCAGTTTATAGCTCATCTTAAAATCAGCCTGTACTTTAAAAAAAAAAAGTTTTCTGTTAAACGGCAGAGTGTTCAGCTACAGACACCAACCATTCACTTGAAGCAAAACTTAATTCTATTTTCTGACAGATTGGTTAAAATTGTCCAGGGAAATCAGAGCTGAAAGCTCAAATACTTTCCGGAAGCCATATACAGCCGGATGTGTTGCTTCTCACTACTGCCTATCAGTTCAGCTCCCCCAGCCCGACCCTGCCAAAGAATGGTTGTTTCTCATTCTGGCTACTGCATTATCAGTACTTTTTATAGAGAGATTAAAAAAAAAAAAAAAAAGATTGCTAATCATTACAAATACTTTGCTCATTTTTTAAATTCAGGAAGTTGCCTTCTCAATGGCAGGTGCTCTACTTCAGACAGCCACACTGGTGAAAATATCCCTATATGGCAGATGAAAAAAAAAAAAAAATCAAGCCGATTGGCTCTCAAATCTGTCACAAACACATTCAGGATATTTCTAGCTAAATACAGTGCATAATTAACAGTCATCTTAGAAAGACTTAACCTTTATTTGCCCATTTATTTCAGTCCACGCTTACCCCCCCTTTTCTCAGTACACTAGCTGGATCACAAAACAGATTTCTCCACAAACAGTTCAGCCAAGAAGAATCTTTTTGGGCTGGTCATCCACTTTGGAGCTGTATTGTTCAATACAGTTGTAAGCAAATTCTGAATTCAAAGCATGGGGTTTTGGTATTTGAAAACCACACTAATATTGTATACAGAAACTGGCATTCAGCAGTATTGCTTTTTCAAACATTTTCAATTGCAAACTCATCTATTTTCACAATCAGAACATTTTTGTCCGAAAAGTTTATTTTAGTTCTCTGAACACTCTAAAGCAACTGTGCTTTTGAAGTTACACAAGTGTCCAGATAGGATTAACAAAAATTAAAATGTTCTAAATTACAAATTTAATTCCTGTAAGAGCTTGAGAAAGGAAATAGAACAGAAAAGCATGACATACACACATTGTGAAGAAACCCCAACTTTTCATGCAATGGCAGGCAAGATGTAAAAAGCCACCCAAATTCACACATTTTTACACCGAATCATCAGAAAAGTACTCTGTAGTAAATCTGTACATCCAAATACATTTGGGATCTACACCTAAGTTACATTATTTAATGTTATATACACTTATTACCCCTTGTATAATGTCTAAAGGAAAATCTTCATTCAAACCCAAACCAAAAAAAAAAACCCGCAAGACTAACTTGGAAAAAAGGAGAATCACTTTAGACATTCAGTTAAAATGTTGGTTTTGTTTTAATCTAGACCTCAAAGTGTTTATTAAAAAACAAACAATCCTCTTCATTTAACATTTTGCTTTCTAACTGTACAGTAAATTGCATTGCAGAGAATACATCCCGTCTTCAGACTATTTTCTTTGGATGGATTTAAGATGTAGCTGGATATTACTTTAAAGATAAATAAAGGGAAGTTGGTCCAACTAGAACAATAGCTGATATATTACATGCATATGGGGTTTTTATATATTTTTAAATTATGATTTAAACAAATGAATGTAGGGTATAGTTGATACCGCAAATAAACCAAAAAGCACCTGGAGTCAAAATACAAAACATACCTCCTATCCTGGCAATGGCAGTAAAAATCAGAAGAGTAATCTTTCTGGAACAGCATTTTTACATAATTTAGAAATGTTAAGTACCAGGAAGACTACTAATCAAGTAGTTTTAGCAGCCAAGTTTCCCTCTTTTTACTGAATGGAACAAATGCTTTAAATAAACCGTTTGTCCTCTTCACTGAAGAGAGCTAGTCTATTCATCTTTAATGAGCTAGGTTTTTTGTCTTTTTGTTTTGGGGAAGATTAGCCACGTACTGTAGTAATGCCTACTGCATATAATCCAAGCATTTGCTGTGAACAGTTGGAGAAAGCAGTCAGTAAGAACCTAGGATCAATGAAATAGATGTTACTTTAAGCCATCCACAAAATGGAGACCCATATAGTGCCCAGTGTTAAAACCCAAATCTCTTCTCGCGCTTTTTGTTGTGCAAGTTCATCCCCATGAAAACAGGAACTGATCCATAGTTCAATTTCTTATTTCCTTAGTCAATTTTCACATTAGTGTAGATTTTACGAACAAAGGCACTTGTTCCCATGTAACCAATAGCTCCTGCAAAATAAACCAAAGATGTTGAGTATGTTAAAGAGCTGATCATCAAAATAAGCCAGCAATATAAACCACACACACTTAAACAGAAAGTCACATAAAGCATGCACTCTGCACACAGAAAATTATTTACCTGCAATACTTGTTCTCAGACTCTAATTATCCATGCTCCCAGTGAATGTCTGGCAAGAACTCCCCTAGTCTAGCAATCTAAATCCATTAAGCCATCTTACCAAGAGGCCATGCTCACTTGGCCTCGATAAATATAGCAGCCCCCCTACTGCTGCCAATAAACGGGTCCCTTTTTCTGAACAGAGGGTAAAAAACATACAATCACCCACTCGGCAGGGAAGGTGGATGGGAGGGCGGGTTTTTATTATAAGTTACATGCCTTCTGGATGAGTGTTTTATTGGCAGATGGCTTTTTCCTTCCCACAAGGCACAAATAATAATAGATCCCCATCCCAGGAGTCTTAAACTCCAAGGAGGTCTGTACAAAGAGATTAAACTAGTAGCAGTTAGTAGTTAAAGGAAATTGCAACCTGTGGTTTTCAAATTAGTAAGAGTCATGAGCAGAGTATGCATTGTCACAGCACTAATAAAAGAACAGGTCACTGAGTTTTTGATAGGGACAACAGTTTATGCTAAACCCAAAATACTGCAGGACCAAGAACACCTAGAAAAGTGAAAGAAACGCACTGGACCAAGACCTCTCCTGAGAAGGGAGATTCAGCAACCTACCTGGTCAAACCCAGGACCTCAGGTTTGCCAGGCTCAGTAAAATACTGTTGTCTTAGGACATCTGCAGGGAATACCCCAGTGCTTCTCCTTCATCTCTTCCAAGCAAAACGAAAGTGAATCAGCCTTGTGGAAGCCCATTTGGCTAACTTTCAGGTTAGAAGTGAAGTTGAAAAATCAAGCAAGAATTAGAGAGAACTGCTGTCAGACTGCCAGAATAACACATCGTAAAATATGGGAAGAAAAGGATAGTGAAGCGAGGGCCTATAACTCAGTACAGATAAGAACTCCAAACATCAAACACTTGGATGCTCAGTAAAGAAGGGACTCTAAACAGATATTTTTGCCTCCATGAAGCAAGAAAGAAAAGTCCAGAGCAAGGCATGAAACATTTTCAGTGATCTGGAATGCACCAGACTTGCATAAGATGGGTTAAATACAAAAGCCTAACCAGCATTACAAGATTTCTGCCAAAACTTCATTTTTCAATAAAAATATAAAGGGTTTTTTGCCTTTAGAAATGAAGGCCATACAGACCTGCAGCTAGTATTGCTGACCACAGATTTATTCAGAACCTGGAGAGTTGTCTAAATCCTGGGGACTGCTCAGATAATTCATGAGGTCAGCCATCAAACTCACCCAGAATTTTGGGGTTCTTATCCCCAAAAGGCCAACATTCCTATCTATTCAGGAAATCTGCACAAAGCAAACCCGATGCATGGTTCCAATTCTATCGGAGCAGTGAAGAGCCTGTGAAGTCAGCCTCTGTGCTGCATAGCAATTCAAGCTGTATAAATGTCATGATAACCATTCCACTGGCCAGCAGATGAGGGATTTGTATTGCTAACTTGGACAAAATAGAGTTTGATTAAAACAAATACAGTGCACACAAGATCAGGTCGCTGCTTGCAAGCGTTAAGCGTGCTGAGGATGCAGTAGAGAGAAGGTCTGGCAGTTCAAGGGGAGACCGGTACAGCATTTTGACAGGCTCAAGCATGGGCTGTGCAGAGAAGGTGACATGAGCTCAGAGTCATATGGGAGCAAACGCAGATTTTTCTGTAGCCTGTCAAGAAACTCATCTTCTGTCTGATGCAGTAAATGGACAAAAAAATGGCACTGGACTCCTGTTTTAAGGCTCATCACGTTTTGCCTGTTAAAGCAGACACTGCCAAAAGATCCAATGCCCACTGTAGCTGCTAAACTCAGACACATTCCAGAATTTGTTCTTCGAGGGTTTCTGTACTGATGTGATGCCAGATATCATAGAGATTTGGGAGAACAAAGCACTAACTGTGTTTTATTTGGGATTTAGAGAACGTGTGCATGAGATGGAAGTGAGGGGGAGGAGTAGAGAGTAACAGTCACATGAGACCACAAACTCTCAACCCCACAAACAAATCATAACCTATTCTGAATCACAGGAGCCTTATCCATGAAGGCCACGAATGGCCAATACCCAAGGCAGGGGTTAAGCCTCAAGGCTACTTCACAGGCATTGAATAAAACATGGGGTGGAGAGGGAGAAACCCTAGACAATGATGACTAAAGAATGTCCTTCTGAAACAAATGGAGGACAGTTGGCTCATTTGAATAAAAATCCATAGTAAAGAGAATTATTTTATTTATGTATTATAAATATCATCTGATAAGGTGTTTAACTTGGTTAGGGCCTATATAGATTCAGCAGAAATAGACTGCAAGCATATTTCAGCAGAACAATAAGCTTTTAAATAAAGAGAAAAATCCAAATAGTGAGGAAGAGCAGCCACAAACAGAATAAGATTAATTCCCATCTACTACTTCAAACCAATTAGCACTTACCACAGTTGTGACTTTAAAGGGCTTTTTTAAAAAAAAAATAAATCTGTGCTTAAAATCATACTTACAGTATTTATTTGGATGCTGAAGTGTGGCATTGCAAGAGGCCTTTTTACACTACCTAGCTCCTAATGCGCTGAGTTGGGGAATAAGTTTTATTCTTTTCTGTCACTAAGAGGGAAGCATGAGGAGCTCAAAAGGTTTGGTAGTTCTCATGGGCTCCCTACTGTCCAGTCCCAGAACTCAGATGCTCTGCAGAGGGCAGCAGACTTTGTGGATCAAAGCATCCCAACTACATGTGGGATTCGAGTTCACTAGGCATTGTGAAGGGCACTAAAACCAGAATTGGACGATACAAGCCTACAGAGTTTTTCCCTGTGGCTGCTTTGGACCCTAACTAGCTGGTCTCATATCCAACTGTGTGATACTGAACACGCCCATTCGCATGAGCATCCAAAGCACAGCCCTACACACTTTTCACAGGAGACGTACAGTCAGTAGCATGCACACTGCACAATTCTCTAACACAAATGTCTTTGTTAGACCTCAATGGCAGCAAGTTCCCTAGACAAATGCTTTTTGACAGGGGATTTTTTTTCTTCCCTCCACATGCTGAAAATGGGAGTTCTCAGTAAAAAGGAATCGCACAGCTTCTCTCCCAACACAGTTAAAAAGACAAAAAGAAATCTCAATAGAGCTGTGGAAATAAAGTTTGATGTGATAAAGTATTCCCTAATTTTGAATAAATTTGGATTCTACTCTAATATTCCTTCAAGTAGTGTCCTACCATGACAAGAAAGCATTCAACTATCTTCCTTTTCCATGTTTTAAAAAACATTTTAATTACAGAAACTGGTGGGCAAACTTGGCTTCTGCATCATAGGCATTTTAATCAATACCAGCCTGAGCACTTTAAAAAGAAAAGATTAGAACTGAAAAGTATAAGCCTATTAAAGAAAAAAATGGCTGCAAGACTACCATAACAGCAGGGAAGTCTTGTAATGTGCCAAGAACCTGATGAAGCAAGATCAGATTGTACGAGAGAAAAGGGGAACAGGTACTCAGCAGTTAAGAGATGATTTCCCTCGCTTTTTTATAAAGCATTGTGAAATTACCCATCCTCCTGGGATATCGAGAAATGTGTACTTTACAGAAAGTTCCTGTAAGCCATCATGTGTCTCAAATATCTAACTCAAAGAAATCCTTCCACTAGAATCTATAGGACTATTCATTCACTACTAAGAAGGAGAGTATTAAATAAAGATCACACATAAAAAGCAAGTAACATCATAGGAAAGTGCAAAAGAACCAAGTAGCACTTTCCTAAAGTCATAAAGCAAAGGATAAAAATAAAGCTAACAGGTGAACAAGTATATTTGACTTTGTCAGATGGCCTGCATGCTGAGAACTATGGTTTTTTTCTGAACATCTGTCAAAACAGTATCTTAAAAAGGCAATGAAATCCAGCTGCACACAGAAGCACTCTGCACTCTCCTAATTTGTGACTATTCCAACACTTATTTCTCAAATGCTACCCTCAAGTGTCAGTCCTTTCTGTTCATATATACATGCCACAAGATACAGATGGTAGTCTCATCAGTATTGCGACACCACTGATGCCTCAACGGGCATACCTAGCTCCTTTTCTTGGGTCAACAGTAAAAACTCCAAAACAAAATACTAGCATGGACTCAACCTAATTTGGAATCTAGTTTGCAGAATTTCTTGCCAAATATTGAGTCTTTCAAGCTTGCACCGAGTGTGAAATTCTCTGCACAGTACATAAATTATCTTCCTACCAGAAGACACAATCCACAGAAATCTCCTATAATAGGTAGGAATCAAGTATAAGCAGAGAACCTGAAGATTCTTTTTAAAGATTGTAAGCTTTAAGCAGATCTTGCAGACATACACACTCCACTGCCAAAACCACAGAGGTAAAATCAGAAACATGACAATCTGAAAAATTCTGATAGAAAACTGTCAATATATTTGAAACTTACCACACATTATTCCCAAGGCTGTGCTAAATACTGCCATATAACCAAAGTAAAATGATGTTTGAAACAAGCCATACATCCTGAAAAAGAAAGGCAGGAATTTATGGTAGGTGCTTTTCCCTATTCTTCTCAATACACTTATTTGGCAATATGGTAATCTGATATTAAAGCAAGAAAACTACCACTTACTTTGTCTTGAAAAAGTAGTAGTAAAAGGAGTACATGTAAACATAAATCGCAGTTGATGCCGCAGAAAGAAAGCTTGTCCATTGCCTGAAAGTAAACACACATGTCCATCACATATCTAAGCAAAAGGCTTCCCAAGAAGCAGCACAATGCACTAAAACCTTACACTGAAAAATAAAGTGTACTGGTTCTACACACTTAACGAAATCTACATGTTGTCTGCCATAAGTGACAAAAGCTTCTACGGCAACAGCCACAACTGATACCAAGTGATGATCCTTCTTCATACTCCTGTGTGCCTTGACTTTTTTTTTTTTTTTTTTTTTTAAAAACACATACATACATGCATCCATGCACAGATGCACATACACACAGAAAGATCTGGTACAGAAAGGATCCAAGAACTGCTTTTATTCCCTACAGCTAAAATTTGGACATGGGACACTTTGAAAAGACCCATCTAGACTGAAAAGCATTACTTTTCTAAAAAACTCTCAGCCTGGTTAACTATGCAAATAATGCAACACTTACCACCTGTAATCCTCTGCGTTTAGCAGGAAATACGTACAAACGATAGTCACACAAACTGTCACAATGCAGAGGATAACCAGAACCAACATCATAAAGCCATAAACATAGTAGATCTTGTAAGCCCAGAATGAAGTAAAAATGAAATACCTGAAGAGAGTAAGCAAAATATGCAGATGATATTGTAATCAAAGTTAAATTATTATACCTTTTAATCAACTTGGCAAATAGCTGATGTACTCACATTTCAATAAAAATTGATCCAAAAGGGAGGATTCCACCTAGGCAAACAATAACAGCTGGTTCCATGAACCTGAAAGATATTAAGATTAATTTAGGGACAATTTTAATCTTTCATTTATAAATATATTAAGACATTTAACCAGATAATACAGCAGAGAGAATTATTTAAAAGGCATGCTAACAAGAACATTTCTGTCTCACACCAGCATATTAGGAAGAAGATTCCCGCAAAGATGTCATGTGTATGGCTAGGAGTTATTCTTGGGGAAAGCTGAAGCTCATGCCTATCACCTACAGGCATATGGTTAGGCATCTAATCAGCCTTGAAGGCTACAGAAAGAATCTCTCTTGCCCAAAAAGGGCCTAAGCAATCAAGCCCAGTGACATCCACTAGCTTGAATGAAGACAGTGAAAACTCAATGCTGTTGATGGCTACAAATACAGCAAAAAGCACAAAGATAATTTCGCAGGGTAATGGTTATATAATTAAGAACCAGTGTCTATTTTTAATGCTATACTGAGTCATGAGCCTATGGTCAAAAATGAATACTCAGCTACCTGTGGATGATACTGTCACTTACTAAAGGTGACCTCTGTGTAGTACTTGCAATGACGCTGAATCTAGCTAGTAACCAGTGATTTAATTTGCAGCTTCTTTTATTATTTATAGGGAGACTTGTCTAAGTTGACGGTGTGCAATTTCATCATCTTCAAGAGAAGTATCTTATTTCTTTTTATCTGTCACGCTGATCCAGAAAAATCCATCAGATTCCCAAGATACAGGTCACAATATAAATCAAATCCTAGCATCTGAGCTGCATAACCCACCACTAAAAAAAGACTAAATGTGCTGCACTTCCTGAATATCACAGGCGTACACGTTTCAGTGCCCCCTTCGCTTTGTCTGTTCCATTCCTCTGAACAGGGAAAGCAAGAAAAATCTATTAAAAAAAATCCTCTGAGGATATTTTCATTTCCATAGCTTGCTGCTTCTATCTCAGAATTAATAGGAAAAAGTGACTGCATTCATGATTTTCCAAAAACCCAAGTCTACTTTTTGAGGCTAGGCACCCACTCCTTTATATTCACTTCCAAATTAATAAAGGTTTATTTGCAATTCAAACTGTATACCTGGAGTATTTTAGGCTTAGGCTCTGTGCTATCAACAAAAGTGCAGAATTGGGAACAGCACTGCAAGCATCTCCCCACCATCACCCTGCAAATATGTCTCAGCTTGTACATGGAGACCATTAAACAGAACAGTTCTGTCTCCAAGGCACATTCAATCCTATATCTGTAAGAGGCATTAACTAAAGAGGAAAGGTTTAGTTTCAAGATACCCAGACAAGAACTTGGTTGGGACCATCCCTTTTACATAAGATACTGAAGAGCATTTCAGGCCAAATGTGAATCAGTAATCTAGGACTGTAAAATCTACTACAACTATTAACCATTAACTGCACTTGGTGGTTTTATTCAACAGAAAAATCATATTAAGGAAACATCAGTAGAGGTGTACTTCTAGACACAATCCAATGTAAATAAAAAAAGTTATTCTAGAAAAAATGTTAATGATCACATCTGAAAAGTAATTTTAAAATGTGCTGAAGTGAATACATCTAGTTAACATGCATGCTGGTCTTTACCATTTTTTCTCTGGTATGGGACGAGGCACTGCATTGACACGACATGGAAAATTAGGCTGTCCTGACAGATTTCGGCCAAGAATTGTGCCAACGAGGTTCAATGGAAGAATGACAAAGAAACAAATGCAGCACACTGCCACCTGTAAGCAAAAAATAAAATAATAATTAAAAAAACAGTTATAAGACAAAAAAAGAAGATAACCAACCCATTCCGTATATATTAGTCCTTAGTAGTTATTGCTGTAGAATCATACTCCTAGTTATCAAGCATTAGTCAACATACATCTGTTTTATCAAACAGGAGTATTTATTTCCTGAGAAACTTCCTAATAAACATTATTAAGCATATTTTCTTGCATCAGTTGAGAGAACAGAACCATTATAGTTTGTTTCATCGAATCATTATACCCAATAGACTGTAAAGAAAGGAAATGGAAATCTTCATGGTACTTCATCACAGAAAATTTTGTCAGTGTCTCTTGAACTTTTGCAGCTTCTGCTGTCCCTGGGAGTTAATATCTAGCAGTTAGGCAGTTGCATCCAAAACTGAAACTGCTGGGTGCAAAATTTTTAATCCAATACAAAAAAGAAACCCAAACAAGAATTGCAAAGCCATGTCAGAACGCTAGCAATCAAAACTTTGGGTTCAATTTTCTCCACTATCCACCAACCAGGTAATTACAAACAGACTGCCAAAGACGCAAGTAACCACTGGTGTGTGCAGACACACAATTTAGAATCATGACGGCCCTGCTTACATATAGAAATTAGGCTGATGCACAATGCAGCAAAATCAAGCCAATGTTCCAGCTCTTTCCAGTGGAACAACTTCCCTAAAATTTTACCATGAATCATCTTTTTTCCAGTACACATATGTAGCTCTACTTCTGCTATTCCTTGAACGCAACATATTTTTATCTTCCAAAACCAGGAATATTTAAAGTGTTTTAGCAAGACGTTCTCTACTCCTGACTCTTTAGCACAAAATGGATCAGCATTAGACAGTTTTTTAACTTTTTGATATTAATAAAGACAGAACAGTGGCATGTAATGCAATAACCATAGTTTTGAATATTGACTCTGTGCCCTTCTCTATGCAAACGTGAGAACAGCGCCTTCTAAAAGCACTGTTGCCTGAGGCTCTGTGCACACTCTGGTGCCTCCTGAACAAAAAAGTTATATTCCTCCTTCAACCCCACCATGATGCAAAGTCCATGGCAGCAGATTAATCCAAAACAATGGACAGAGGACCAGGTCTAAGAGCCACACACTGACTTGTTTAAGAAGCAGCTACTCCAGGACAGATAAAGGCTGTTCACCTACGTTGTATCTATGGAAATCTACTGCAAGCAGCTGACAAGCAAGAACCACTTGGCTTCATGAGATGAGGAGCTGCACTACATTAGCTCAATACAAATTTTTCATTAAGTCAACCATGTGAGTGTAAGGCAACATCTGACAAAAGTCAGTTGGTTATCCCTCTATTACTGACTTGCATACCATTACCAGCCTAGGCCAGATGTGAATGGAAAACTGCCCGAGTTTGATGGAGCAAGCCTTCATACTTCACAGAAGGGGTACACCAGAGGTGGTCAACAAGCAGAAGCACTGTCCAGACTGTTTTGTGTATCTTTGAGGAGAGGTTATTAAAAAATTACATCAAAAGCCACTAAAATATGAAGCTTCAATGGTAAATAAGGAAAAGCTCAGTAGTATTTATACTTGTCAATAATAAAGCAGATTTTACACAAGTAATACATATTAAATATCTCCCATTTATCTTTCATGACTGGAAAAAACACAGGTGATCAAGCATAGTGTCTTAGGTAGGACAGTGAGGTCACCTAAGAATAAGTTACAGGAGAAGTATATAACTAACTCACTTAACGGATGCAGGTTCTGCACTTGAAAACTGCTCAGTCTAAAAGAATGAGAATTTTCAGAGAAAAATGTCAAAAAGTATCAAAAAGATCAAAGAAGAACGTCTTGAGTCCTACATTTACTAAAATCCTGACCAAAAAGTCCCAGTTTGTTTGAAAGTGCAGTGGGTAGAAGAGACATTCAAGAATTAAGGCCTGGACAGGATCCAAAGAATTTCCGACATGACCGTATTGAAACCATTTCCATTTCCAAGAAGAGCTTGCTCTGCCTCCTGCCTGCGCGAGGACCCCCAGGTGTGATGGGTGGCTCCTGACCATGCAGCTCCATGGTGCTCTGGCAGGTAGTTTTCAAATCCGGCCAAGACAGGAAGCTCAGTCACAGGCAGTGTGAAAGGGCATCTGTATTGCTCGTCCAGCCACAACTGTTTTTTACAGTGCAGTTACCAAGGTGTCTGTAGCTTCGTTTCTTGATCCTGGAAATCAACTCTAACTGGGGATAGTCATAGAGAATGAATCCACTGCTTTAGTATGGAAAGAAACTGTCCAGGAACAGCCTTAGGTTCCAAGCTCACCTGGAACAAAACTTAGTAGCTTGTAATTGTCTGACTCAGCAGCAGCTTTGAAATCTAGAATGTTTATCTGCATAAAACAAGCTGAGACACACCAAGATTTCCTGAATAATGGCTTCATTAAGTACTGCTAACCTGTCCCCAGTATGCTTGTAACTGGCATCCGTCAGAAAATCTGAGTGTTTGTGGTTTCATTATCAGATCAGTTAGGCCATGATTGATATTGTTGTAACATTTTCCATTCTATTAACCATCTGGCTGAAAAACTAACTGATTTCAGACAGAGCAGCTAGCATCTTCCATGAAATCTAGTAAGCAGCATTAGGTAAAGTCAATGTTTTGTTAAACAATGAGCTACCTTGTCTGCGTTCTGAAGACAGCTGGAACTGAAGTGTACTTTTTCCTTTTTTCCTGGAGCCATTCAAGAGTCTAAAAATAATCTGAGATGATTTTGCAGTGCAAAGGAAGCCCAACTAAGCAAGCAAGTATGGACCATAGTGCAAGTTCAGGATTGCCTCTCACTTCTACCTGCCTCTGATAAGCCGCCTAAGCTGATAAACATGTGAATATTCTGTCTTCTGAGATAACCCCACCCTGGTGACAGCAACCTGCTGGTCTCAGTAGGTTGACCAATACAACTGGTGCTGGTTAGAATCAGCACACACTGTGCTGACCTCAGCAGCATCTTCTTTCTTCCTTTCAATTCACTGTCTGACTCCACGGTGGCCTACCTACTCAGACTGATGCTTGCTGAAAATTTTCTTCTTCATTCTTGGCAGTAATAGTCTTCCCTGAATGTGGAAAAAAAAAAACCAAACAAACCCCAATAATAGCTGTTGCATGACGGAGAGATGAGAAAGCTAGGTCTTAGTGAGCCTTTTAAGAGAAGTATTACTGTAATATCAACCAAGAGAAATTCAGAGAACAGTTTTAACTACCACTTCAGAAAACACAAATAATGCAAACAGGCAAATCTACTACATCTACAAACCGTTTTCCATCAAGCAAACAAACACACGCTCTCCATAATCCATATTACCGAAGACAAACTACGTGAGTTTTTCTACCAAGCCAGTACATTAAAACATACCTATTTCACTTTGACTGCTGCATTTTTGTTGTACAAAATATCTTATTTATAAACGAGCATCTGATTTAGTTTGCAGATTTTAGTTGCCAGTAAGAGATTGTCAACCTCACCATGCCTGCATTCTTTCACCATGCCTGCATTTTGTTTTGATGGGGAAAGAATATTCTACTGCCCTTGACTGAACGTGCAGGATTCAGTTTTCCGTTTTCCTTATTTGAAAGGAAACATTGTCAAGAGGGATATAATTTATGTTCTAGTGCCATGTGTTTCATATTTTCTGACAACTGTAGATTAAACTTCATTCAAAGGTGATAATTAAAATTTTTATGAGCGTATCTAATATTAAACAGCTACTGGCAGGCTGTGGTGCCTTGACTGCTTAATGCACAAGGGAGAAAAGCAATAAAAATTAACTGTCAAAGCAGCAGCTTGATCTTTCCTGTCAGCTACAAAAACTGCACTCTCAGTCATGAGACTCTCCCCCCACACAGAGGGTACCAAATCTGCACAGTGAAACAGTTCTGTGCACATCATCTGCTCAAACGTTACATGGAACAAGAAAAGAATAGAAGGCTTCAAAATAAAGTGTTATTAATTTTATTACAACTAAGTTGTTAATCTAGGGTGCTGCTTTGGGTAATAAATTGTACTGTTGGAAATTTCAGCAGAAGCTGTGTCTATTTTCAGCAAAGATTAGATTTTTGACCAAGGGTTCCACAGTCACTTTCAAGCAATCCAAGGAAGCACCCTGCTGAATGTATACAACTAGATTTTTTTTTTTTTTTTCCTATTTTTAGCCACGTTTATTTCCTTATCTGGCTCAAGGCATGAAAATCTTTGGTGCTACCAGGTCCTCCTTTTTCAGTGGCAGCCAACACTCATATCAACTTAAAGCTGTCAGGGATAGCTGCAGCCTGGATTAAGCTATCTGTTGGAGGAAACACTTTTTTCTAGTTTAAACAAGGTATAAAAGATGCAAACACTAGGATCTTGATCCCAAGAGAAATTCAGTGTGCGTAACCTTATTTAATTAAATCATTAAAAATGCATACTGGAAACGGCAGCCACGCAGGAGCCTACTGCTCAAACAAAACAAAAATGGTACATCTTAAACAGTTTAATAGAAGCTGCATGGATTCTGCAGTCAGAATATTACATTAGTCATAGTAGCCTTAATGGAAATCTTTAAATTATATATAACACACAGAAAAACGTAAGCAGTCACAACTTACGAAATGCCAGAATTAAGATGGTCCCTTCAAATTCAGTCATGTTATTCGCTGTAGAAATTCTGCATTACTTAGTAAGTATTCCTGCACAGAACTACCACCACAGTCCTAAGTGTATATGGAGAGGTAACTTGACATTATTTAAAATTCTTTTTAATTGCTCCATGCTCCATTTTTTGCATATAATTCAAACACAACAAAAAAGAAAGATGATTGATAAATACACTGAAAAGATAGACAAAAATCAACAGAAGGTAAGTCAAGGCGTACAACACCTTCAGAAGAACCCTATGTTCATCAGTAATAGGATATAATAAACAAAATACCTCAAAAAATCAAATTTGGGCTCTAAAAGAACGAAGAATTGAACAATATGCACTGCATTTCTATAAAGGCAAAGAGATGAAAGAAAAAACCCAGACTTTTATATTTCCTCCATATACTTAGGGAGTTGAATGCTTTAAACCATTAAGTTTTAAAAAGCTCCCTCATTTGAATAAAATCTGTCACATACTTTATTGCACTTTGAAGAGAAGGGCAGCTGAATGATATCCCAGGGAAGAGATCAAGCCTTTGTTCAGGCTCAAGGTGTATTTCACTACAGAAGGTTTGTCACAGTATAGGTAGATGGCTTGCATGTTAATCCAAAAGCACTGAAGGCAGAGTCCCAAGACTGAAGAATTATTTCAGAAACAAGGTTTGGATCTTCCCAGTCCCTACCACATCTTTGAGGAGATCCCAGACATCAGGAATGACATACACAAGGTGAACAAAGCTTTGAAGTTCAAAACAGACTGCAATGACAGCGAGGTGTATGAAAGTCCTGAAGAGCTCAATCAATTTGAGCATTTCAAGACAAAATGTGGAAGAGCAGATACCAGGTAGATCAAAGATGTAGCAACTGTGCGTTAGCTTGGATGCCTTGGCTTTGACATGATCAGCTCCCCTTGCCTACATTCCATAGACAAATCTGTCTGGAGGGAGGACTTAAGTCACAGAGAGGAGAGTACCTAGAGGTTCACTGGGAAGTCGCAACGCAGAACAGGCAAAGCACAGGATGTCATATTGAACCATAGTCTCTTAGCAACCTTTTAGCTCAGACACTTCTTTCAGCAACTCAGTTTCTGCTTTTTCCAGATTTACAGTTGTCAAGAAGAGGTGGTAATTCTTGCCAGCAATTTAAATCAAGGAGAGTGGTTTCAAGACATGCCAGGGTAAAGGAACTACTTTCTGTGTTCTGGTATGTTTAGATGGCAGAGGTTTTATTTCCCCAAGAAAGCAGCAGCAGCAAGTTTGCACTAGAGAATTCTGGAAGCTTCTCTACATTGAAAACAAAGGTGGAAAGACACAGAAGTATCTTATCCATAAAGCCAGAGGGCTTCCCAGGGACTTCAACCTGAAGCATAACATGGTAATTTCAAACAATTTTCATTTCCTTCTACAAACCAGCTTCATTAGTTGATTTCAAGTCATTAGAGCGTTGCTTATTCTGATGAAGTTTCCGATTCATAACCTGCTCCTACTAAAAGTCTGCTAACTCCACTGAAGTTTTATTGCCGCAGTCATAACGATTCAAACACGTTCATAAAACCCTGAGATCATTAAAATCACTGTGTATAAAGAGTCCTAACATCCTGATTAAGTGACCCCTGAAGATTTATATTCCCATTTGCTTTCGCATGTACATGTTTCCATGATCTTAAAATACAAATCAGCTGAACAGATTTACAAGACAAACTTCAGCACAAGTGGAATTCCCTTCCCTCAGCACTGCTGACCTCCAAATGGGAATACAAGGGAGAAATGTAGTATCATAAATGCTTGCTCAGCAGTAAAACAGAGCCTCTTTCCACATATCAAAGATCAATGTTGTAAACTTTTCTGACAGTATTGTACATGGCTGCTAGCTTAGGAAAGAAAAAACAATACAATAATTCCTTAGGGTCACTGACAGACTGATATAAACATATCTAAAGATAGAATTTTAGTCTAATTTCTTGAAGAAAAAAACCAGAAAAATTAAGTGAACAGTTTATAAACATGTTTAGCTTGATATTATATTTAGTGGTTTTATAGCAACCAATGCAATGTAAATAGTTGGTATTTAGGCATGCATTGAACATGCTACTAATAAGGAGGTGACTAGAACCAGCAATGTACATGTAAAGTAATGACTCCTCCATCAGTAGAAAATTATTGAAAGCCTTCACCTGCAACTGAGGATTGTCCCTCTTTTTATTACCATTTATGATTTCTACCACATTCATTCATTAACGATGTATTCTTAAGAAGTATTTTCAGTCACATACTGAATTTTATTATCCCAAATAATACAATTTATAAGAGAACTTGTGACACTAAGCTTCATCTTGTGGTAGATTTAAGCTAAGAAGAAATCCAAGGCTATTCAAGCATCTCTGAACAGACTGAACAATTTAACATATCACAAAAGCTGATGTGTAAAGTAGGGAACTATAAAAAAAAAAAAAGGTTAAATCCCAAGATTTGCTACAGATATTGAAAAGAAAACAAGCCTTCCTGTATCAAGATAATTTTAAAGTGCTACTGCATAAAATCAGAAAAGGCAACGTTAGGGTACATATTTAAAAAAATTCTGCTCTCAAGTAATACCCCTTGCAAGCCCAAACAGAAATTCTGCCAAAGCACCAAGTGATTATTTCCTACGTTGTATTCAAAGGGTTATTTGAGGTTACTTGAAAGGGCCATGACAACAAACAAGATCCTGACAAAAGTCATCATGATTAAATGAGAAATTAATCCAACCAGCACTGTTTTTTCAAGTGATACGGTAAACACACAGACACAAGACCACAGTGAAAACTGTGATTCTTTTTCATAAAGCCAGATCTCTTCAAGATATCTCATCTCATGGTTTTGGCTGATCTTTTTTTTTTTTTTTTTTTATGCTTGACTGCAATGCTTTGGAAATAGCTTTCACTTGGAATCCTTTTGTATTGCACTTTAGCTTATAACCAGTTTGCCTTCGCCAGAAGAAAACTCAAGTTGCTAACTCCCCATGTTGTTATAACACGAAGTTTGAATACAAAGCAGAAGTGCCATTTTAAGCAGAGAGAATACTGTTGTTGGCATCCAGCAGCTGTTGCTACTGTGATTAAAATGAATCATACTGGAAGCACCTTAAAACCCTCCCAGAATAAATTTCTAAATAGGAAGCTAAAGCTATGGCTCACAATTGTATTTAGACTAAAAGGTAGTTTTCCTGTGTCTACAGTGGTGTTAAAATTCTCCAATTAAATGACTCACCATGGTTCCAAAGGGTATAGCTCTTGAAGCATGATAATAGATGGCAATGAAGTTAATGAAGAAGGCAGTTCCACACACCATTGCTGGAATAAGGAAGGCTCCAATGAACATCTGCTTTATCCATCGCCTTCCTGTAAGAAGGAACATTCCAATGGGACTGGTGAGATACAGTGTATTTTGTTTAAAAAGTTATCAGCAAGCTCTCCAGAATGTAAATGTTTGACGACTTCTCCCCCAGAAAGGTGAAAGAATTAAGTAACAACATATTAAATGCATAGAAGAGCCAAGAGTCAACTAACAGTTTCATTTGACTCCTGGCAGCTCACTAGATGCAGCACATTAATCAATTTATTAGGCCAGGTGAAAAGACAGGAAAAGGGACACAGCGTGAGAACATTCTGGCTGAAGAACAGCATACACTAACTAAGCTGGCCGAAGAAACCGGGGTATGACACATAAGTGTCTATCTAAGCTGCAGATTAGTAGAGACAGAGATAGCAGAGCTGGCCCTGTGCAGAGCATGCTTGCACCCTGAGAGCATGAGAGCTCAGTGCTGCTCCCGGGACAGCAACGCTTGTTAGCAGTTACTACTAAGTTTAGAGCTCCCTGAAGAGCTCAAAAAAACCCTCTTGGACCATACCTTAAAAATTTTGACTGTCTGTATTCCTTTTACTTTCTATGCTCTTAAATACGGTCTATATTTGAATTTAATACACCACAGATGCATCTGTAATATGCACTAAATAAAAAACAGTCAGAAAACGAGCATATGCTTTTCAGGACCATCATATGTATTTTCACTATGGGCCAACATAATCAGCATTTCATGGTTTGATACATGTTTGATCTGCAGAAAAAAATGCAAGGCTGGCTCAACTATACAGCATGGTGCATTTTAGAACAGCAACCCTGATTTACCTAGATGTATTTTTCTACAAATTGCGGGGTTTACACACAAGCCACATGAAAAGAAACAGCTAACCTTCACACTCAGAGTAGGGTACAGTTGAGACTAACAAGTATGTCGTACTAAAAAGATACAAATTTTCTTTTGCAAACTTACCAGAATTATTTTTCCTAAAGCGCTACAGAAGATAATAGATATTGATTACTCTTTTATTGCAGCATAGGGAATGGATGAAGCTAGTGGACTGCAAGGATGCAACTGGTCATAACTCAGAGGCATAGTGGGGAGGCACTTGAAGACAGCCTGTCCAAATCTGTTATGTCAATTTTATTGAGCTTCTGCTCTCTACTGATACTCATTTTGAACTTGCTAAGTATAAAGCAGAGCACATACTGAAAAGTAGAATAACGTTCTTCAAAAGATGCTACAAAGATGCTATATGTTTTCCCCATCCACAATCAATAGTCTAGTAAGTATTGTATACTCATCCTTTTCGTGTTAGTAAACATAGCCCTCCCAGTACCTATAGAGGAGGGCTATGTAGGAGTCATCTGGAGAAGATGACATGAGCTGTTTAACAGCATGTTACAGAAGAGGGAGAGACTATTACACACTCTGGATGTCATGAGCCAAACAATTATGTACAAGAGTCTAACGAGCAACTCATAAGATACAACTGTTAACAGTTCTTTAGCTCTTATTACTTTTAAATCAACCAAAGATTTCAGCTATCTTTAGATAGAAAATGCAGCCAATACTGAATAGGAAGTAATATGAAAGTTAAATATACTCAAAATATTTTCTGTTTACTAAGAATGTAATGGATTCCATCTGAATGGCCTCACTCCATGAGGACACTTCTGTATTAGTGCAAATCAGAAAATAATAACTTCTCCATGTAACAATGTAATGAAAATGCTGAAACATGAAAACAATTTACCTCCTTGTCTAGCATAAAGGCTTCCTCCAAAATATCCATTTACTGGCGATGTTGCAGCATAAACAAATATAGCGGTACTAAGCATTGATCCTCTCCTACAAGAAGTGATTTTTTTAGTAAATGAAATAGAAAAACCAGACAGTATTAGAGCAAAAGATTACAGTAAAATATGTACATTTAATAGAAGCCGTTATTTAATATTTTTAGGTAACGTAAAAATTTAAAAGTGCTTAAATCGTAAGATCTACATAAGAATGAGAACTATTTGCATCCAAAGCTTCTGGCAGAGTCTAATTCAATCTAGGAAAAAGAGTTCCAACATACTACATTCTTTTCTAATATGCATTTATTTTCACTGGAGTACAAAACCTCACCTCTGATCAAAATACTCTGACATTTGGATGCATCTACTGAACTACTTATGTGACATACATTAAGTATAAGATTCAACTACTGCAGATAAAAAGGTACTCTTTGTTTAATATAAAGGCCACTATTAACAAAAATATACTAAGACTGTGAATGATGTTTCTGCCATCCCTCAGAAATTAACTTTTAAGATTGAAAGTGATCATGTTACAGAAGACCTGATTTAGAAACTATAAATGCTATGATGAAGCCACAAATCAGCACAGAGTAGTCCTATCAGAAGAGTTTAGTAATTTTAAAATTATCACCTCATTAAATATTGGAGTATTCACTTTGGCATAATTTTTCTGAAATTTTACAGGCAAAGCTAATAACTTTAAATCACAAAAGCCATCTCCAAATACATTTTTAAAAATCGTGTCTAAGAATAGTAAGATATAAATGTTATTCATTAATAGAGCTGTCTCCCCATGTCCCTCTGCTACTCTTCAATAGCAAAAAGCAGTAGAAGGTTTTCAGCCAGCTTGCTGTACTTTCTTCAAATTAGTTGTTCTGAGAGATTCCAGACTATTGGCATTTTGATGAACGATTACTGGATGCCTGCCCTACTCAAAGAAGTAATCTTTAGTACAATCAGCTTCCATGACTGCATGGATTGAACTAAGCAAAAATACCTGCTGGTCACACACACTAAAGGAGCGTTATACTAACATTTGCTTCTCAAAAAATAAAAAGCAATAGTTCCACTTTACTAAGCTACTGGTTAGACAGAAGCCAATTTTAACACTTCTCCTAACTTAAGCCTTTTAGAAACACATGCAAAACCCCAGAAGACCATGCACAATCTGAAGCGACACATGTACGTCCAGGCTACCTGTAAAATGACCAGCAGATGTTATTCTAAAATTATCTTGGAATTGCCTATTCTCAAGGAATATGTTTACTTGATTATGTTTCAAATATTCTAATGGAAAAGTTTCTCAAAACACAAACCAGCATTAATACATTAATAGCTGACGTGACCAAATTTCACCGAGAGACTTTTAGTTGGCATCAGCTGCATCCCTAAGAGTTTTAACAGACCTGAAGAACACTGACAGGCAATCCTTCTTATAATTCTGGTTTACAGCCTTTTTCACTCGCATCACTATTTTCCTAAGTGTTGGAACTGGCTGCATCAGACTTGGTCAATTGTTCCGTTACACACCCAAAATTAAATTCACTTTGAAAGTGATACAAAGGCCTATTGCAAGAAAAGACTTTTAATTACTGTTCCAACACATTTTACAATTGCCATTTCTAACTTACAGCATCCCTATAGCGCACAAACACTCTGAAATGGTTTCATTCCCTCCCTTGAAGGGCCGACATGCTGTACAATTAAAAATGTGTATGTAAGTCTATGCATAAATGTAACCGTGGGGCACAAGGCGGGAATAACACGATATGAAAAATGAAAATATGCCAAGATACTGGTGTTATGGAGTGGCTTTTTAAACACACCATTAAAAGGCAGCTAAATTCAAAACCAAGAGTTCTCTCTAGTGGCACATTAGAAGTACTACAAGTTGCTAAAATCAGTTACAAGTGATATTCAAGAGAAAATAGAACAGAGACTTGAAATTTTAGTCATTGCTTAAAACAAGGCACTTGTTAAAAAAAAAAATAATCCCCCCAGTATCCAAAATACAATCACTAAAGAAACAGATAGAAGTCCACCCAGGACACCAAAAATCTCAAACAGGTAAAAGGAAAAGGAACAAAACTAGGTTAACTGCAAGTGGTGTGTTACATTTAAACTGGAGTCATATTTGTTTGTTTTCAATGAATTCTCTTCAGTCAGGACCACAGCCCACCTATTGCTGGAGGTTTTACATGCAACACAGGCTGAGCAGTATCTGTTCAAAAGAACTTAAGAAATTAAATCTCCATTCCTGAGAAAACTTGTGGATAAGATTGGCTTAATGCATTTTCAGCAGTAAACAGGACTACTCACATCACATTCCTACACCTGTCTTTACAGGACACGGTGGGGAAAACAGGGTAAGAAATACAGTAATATCTTCTCACTACAGATGAAACCAGGAGTGAAATATGTACCTTTTAACATTTATTTCTCATAGGATCTACCTGTATTGCAGAACAACAAACTAGTTTCATAATAAATCATGTCAAAGCACGCATTAAAAGAGTAAAATTAAAAAATGAGACAAGCTCACATGATACGAGTAGGACAAAGTTTCATTACAACTTAAAAGAGCCCTTCTGAATACTACATCTGATCTAAAGATAAAAGACTAAAGACTCTCAAACACTTTTTTCCAGGCCCGTTAGAACATTCATTTTTGTAATTATTTTGTTCCTTTAAGCATCTATTTGTGGAAGGTATTGCACAATTATACTTACTCTGTGTATAAATCTTCTATCATTGCAACAACAATGACTATAAGAGACACAGCAAAAATTTGGCAGCCAGAACCAATAAGCGATGAAAATATTAGAGGATGACTGGATGGTCTAAAAACGTCTCCGTGGACCTGTTTCCACCCATACTCATCACCTAGATCTCTGTCCTAGGAACAACAACAAAAAAAGGTTAAGTCTAGTCACGACAATTAATGACAAACATACAAGCTAGGCATAAATTAAAGATTTGACTTATTAAAGTAACTTCAAGTGCAAGTATGTCTTCTCTCCTAAATGCATCAAATCTAGGAGAAAAGTTTACTTTTCAGGTACTTATGAAGACAACAAAAATTACAACCTGAATGTAGGATGCAGTAAAAATCTATCAGATTTCCTCCCTGTCCCTAAAATCCTCTGAAGTGCTTAGAAGTTAACAGGCTTCTGTTACACACTCAGAATGGGCCTCATTTAACCTAAGTGTGGATATGAACATTAACACAGTGACTACAGACAGAATTCTGGGTTGCAACCTAGGAGCACGTTACAAAGAAAACGAGTAACACTTTCAAGAAGCACATAAAGCAGTTTTCTGCCCAACTAAACAAAGCCATTCAGAGCTGCTAACACAATTAATGTATGAAAACAATGAGCCTTAAAAGATATTTTAAAATAAGTATGAATGCAGATCTTACCATATCATCCATTTCTTCCTCCTTGCTGTATCTTGCATAATCTTTTCGCAAAGTTCTCATTAATATCATAGATACTAGGCCAACCAGAAAGATCACCATCATAAAAGAATTGAAAATTGAAAACCAGTGAATCTACAAAAAGAAAACACATCCCTAAGTTTACAACTGTAAATGTGTTTCAAATTTGTTCCAATAAGTATAAATCGTTGCCTAGAAGGACAGCTTGTCAGCGCTAGCTAAGTAACAATAAACCCACATTGTAAGTAACACTACATTTGTAGAAAGTCCCAGTAAAACTGGCCTGTGAGACACCATACATAACGCTTTTCAACAGCTAAGCTTGCTCACCGAACCCCAAACAGAATCCAAACCCTCTAATTTCAGAAAGTGGTATAGCTCACCCTTAAGGAGATTACAACCACAGGTTTAAGCCATCACAACTGAGATCACCAACTGGTTTAGACTAATGCTTTTTATTTCGCGTTTACTTCAGTAAGAAGTGCACGTATGGCCAATTGCAGTTATTCAGCTTACAAGCTGTACAGTTGTGTCCCTGAAACTTCATTGCTTCCAATCATGCAAAATTTTCTTGAACTGCCTTTCATTTGCTGCAGGCTTGAAGCTTGCCTGCACATTTACTGAAGCACTCTAAAAAACTGGAGCCATCCTATTTGAGCAACAGAACTATCACTTAAAACCTACAGTCCTAGACCTGCCTGTTTCCTTGTCCCAGAACACCTGGGACACCCAAAAATTCAAAGATGTCATTCAAAAATTCCATGACATCTTCTGAACTAAAGCAACCATTTCAAAGGGATATTTTGTAAGGTTGTCTTAGAACAATACATACTCTATGCTGAAAGAAAGATGGGTCAAGATACTTGTCAAATCGGTCTTCAAACTTCACATCTGATTTCTTCCATTTCACCTAAAGAGAGAAAAATTTACACTTGAAAAGCTCGTTATAGTATGTTCAGTTATACTCACATGCAGAAACCCAAAACACATTTTAAGTCATCCACTTTAGATGGTCTTCAGTGTGAATCTAGGTTTTGGCAAAAGAATGGACTAATGTTCTTAAAGACTGGTATCTACAGGTCAGACACAGAATGATCATCTTGCCTCATGGATCTAATCTTGTCTATGCTTACATTTAGGAACAAGAATAATCAGTCTTGCACTGCCTCAGCTCTCACTGTCTCTGTGAGACTAACCAAAGACACAAACTTCTACTTGTCAAATACAACAAACCCTTTTCATGATTATAGAAGGAGCTCATGAAGATACTCATACAGAAGGTGCCAAAACCAAAATCCATCAAATGACCCTATTTTTCAGTTTTGTCAAATGAATAGTTCAAAGATGATGCTTTTTTTCCCCACAGCAGATACTTGTAAAACGATGAGGCAATACCTTTGAAAAATCCTCCCATAGTCGCCCAAGATTTCAGAACAAAGGCTAGAGAAAGAAAGCGTGTTTAAATATGTTCAAGAATGATGTGAAAGCAGTGAAATTTTTTCAAATATTATTTTTGCTGACAGCACACTCCCTTTTCTCAATATTTCCATGTGCTACATTGTATGAAAGAGGCTTTTGGAGAACATTACCAGTGTTCATCGAGTGATGACAACACCCGCTACTTCTGTTCCCCCAACAGCAGCTGAGATCTTTTTGCTGCCATGCACTAGAGACTGGTATTCAGTAAAATCATCTGTACCTAAATTCTCTGAGTACAGTGCCCAAGAAAAAATATACAGTCTAGCAGAAGTGAGGGAAATGAGAAGCTGTAAGAACAGATTTAAAACAGATGCCAACAGAAAAGAAAATTACATAAACTGAAATGCAAGCTGGCTGGAAGAGAACTGGATAAGAGGGATCAAGCTGGACCCTAGAAGACACACATTAAAATTTTAAAAGCTACAAGCTAAAAGCTGCAGCCTAAAATCTGTAAGACCACAGGATTCTGCAATCTAGACACTTCAATTGCCAATAAATAACTCTGAAAACAGCTGGATAAGTATGCATTTACGGCCATACTGTCACAGGGTAGCAGCATATTACTGCTATCACTAGCTGCACAGAGGACTGCTTTGGATTTGAAAGATTCAATCGTACTCATGAACTATACAGTGCTAGTATGGTAGCACACAGTATTTTTCAGATTTTTTTCAAGATTGCATTTAAAAATTAAAATGAAAACAATTTCAGAAATTAAACACAAATCGACACTAAGTTTTTTTTCAAAAGCATGCCAAGAATGGGAAATATCAGGATTTTTAGTGTTCTTGAAACACGTGCATCTCCCTTGTGCATATCTTTTTAAAAATACATGTCAAGGAACTATCTTTCCCAACAGACCGTTCTCTTACTCAGTATAGAAGAAAGCATATAAATGTAGATCGAATACCCCTACTACTCACCACAGTTCTGAGACAGATTAAAAACCCTAAGACTCAGCTAGTATTCACTTGGAGGTATGATATTAATGCTCTTCAGTTCATATTACAACCTTGTTCAAGACTAGTATCTCAAAACATTAATAGCTTTCAACATTGTTTTAAGCAGATACCTTTTGCATTAGAGCATCTGCCACTAAACAGCACTGCTTAGAACAAATCCACCAGAGACTATCTGTGAATTAAACACCACATATGTGCCAGCCCAGGAATTGCCCAGTGGTGCCAACAGAATCGGGTAGGTAAGTCTTGAACTCTGTACAGTAAAAGTATTTTAAAGGAACATCTAATGTTATTTTCATTACTGGCAGCTACTCAGTACTGTCTGCCTCAAAATTCAGAGAGCAAATGGACTTCATAATGCTGGTGGAATTTGAAATAGAGAATTTCAAAATTTCTGCTATCAATTTTGCAGTAGAAATAGGGAGATTAGTGTAAACATAATTCTAGAAAGCACATATAAAAACCAGTTATCTGCACTTTATGCAACTTATTCAGCACAAAACAAATGTAGTAGTGGCAAGCATATCCTCTAAAATAAAATCTTATGCTGACACCTACTGCTAACACGTTGTAGAAAAACAATGCATTAAGAACAAGTTTCAGTATACAAATGTGGTGAACATGAGAAGTGAACCATTACAAATTTAAGTAACATCAAATAAATAAGAGGAAAATTGAAAAATTTAATTCATTATCTCAGAGCAGCAAACACTGTTTATTCATTACCTTTTATCATAGCAATTCCATATAATAGCAGAGGGCTTCAGAGAATACCTTACTAATAAGGTTATAGAAATAAGACAGATTTCTACTAGAATTGCAGAAACAAAATAAGATTTGATACTAACTGCTTGCCAAGTATGATGGCTCACAGTGGGTTTTGGTCCTAGCTCAGAATCCAATTCAAATCTATGATGCAAATGTCAGAGCTCCAAACATTAAGAAAATATGTACCTACTGGGGGGTCCTCTATACTTCTAGTCTCCATACCTTTTGGGACATCTTCCTTTCCCACCAAAACACTTTTCTGCATATTACAGAAGCTTCAGTTTGTTTGAAGTGTTTAAAAAATCATCATTTATATTTATTCTTGATAAACCTATCAAGGTTTTTCAGTAATTAAAAAAAAATACTTGAAGGAGTTAAGATTCATCTTCCTCTAATATAGCCTGACGTATCAATACACTGTAGGTATAAAGTACCTACTTTTGAGCTATTTCATGATGTAGAATTTCTTATTACAGATGCATCACCAAATTACTTACTGAATATGACATCTGGATTTTTGTGTTTGGTACCAATTTCACCTTTCCTTCACTGGTCAGATTGACATCTACAATTCTATTTCCATTGTAACCGATTTCAAGTTTTTTGTAAGTCCAAAGGTAATAATCTTCTCCATTTTCGTCTGCTTCTCCGACAATACCTGCATAGGAAACAAATGTAAGCATTTATTACAGGTATGCTTTTTAAATATTCTGTAATTATTTTTTTTAAATACGCGCTACAAAAATTTTGCCAGCTAAAAAAGCAATAACTATAGTAAAAAAACCACAGCAGACCTTATGCTCTTCAACTGTGATACCTGGCTTACACCTTCTATCCAAAGGTATCTGCAAGAAGCGTTTTGTAATGGCATTAAAAGAAAAAAGCATGCAGGTACAAACACTGCAGAATAAACAGAAGACACAATAGTCCCTCTAGTTTTATTTGGAATTCCTAACAGATAAGAAACTAGCTGAATACAGATTTAACTTCTACAAACAGAACTTGGCTGAGACCTCTGCATTTTCCCATCTCTCATCTATCCCTTCACTAATTTTTCGTCCTCTTAGAAGTTTTACTTTCATTCTGTATTCCTCATTAGTTAACCCCCCTACACATACTTTTTGCTCTCATTTGCACACTAGCTTCCAATGCTTGTCAAGAACGAAAGTTTCTGTGTTACTTTCACTGAGAAATTCAGAAGTTATCATTTACTTGAAGATTTTTATTACCTCCAGAGTATTAAGCTGCTCAGATGCTCCTGGAGCATCAGAACCCAATATTAGCCATGATAAATTCTTACTTTTCAATAAATTACTGCAAAATGTCTAATCTACTACAGAAAAATTCCAGAGACTGTACTATGCTGGGGGAGAGGGGGGTGAAGTCTATCAGTCACCAAGTTCACAGGCTACAAGCATCATCTTTAATGTCAAGACCATCATACCAAAGATCATGTACAAGATGGAAAGCATAAAAGCAGCACTCCAGATATACAAAGGTGGGGGGGAGTGGGAGAACAAGCAGGCGAAGGATATGGAACAGATTATCACGAAGCAGCAGGTATATGAAGAAACAGCGCTTGTGCATTACCTGTGTTTTTTAGTTTTCAAGGTGGTAGTTTTCTGTCATGTTTTTTACTCACGCTCATCTGTCAGGATTTCTGTGTCTATACCATCCACATGAAACACGTGCCAGTTTGTGCCTATGCCATACAGCCTAGCACCTGGCACACCATCTGTTCCCATGGTAGTATCCAAACCCATGACAATACAGACCTCTAAACTACTTAAAGGACATTCTGATCAATCATTACCTGAGGGAGTGAACTAACACAGTGCTCCATTTACTTCGGGAAACGTCCTGAAACACAGACAGTCAAGCCTAGCCGGGAGTAGCAATTCAGGAAAAATAGAAAGTGGAATAATTTTTCTGAATGCACTTAAAAAGATCTGGTTGCCTTTTTCAGGTCAGAAAATAAAGTGTAAACCTTCCAAAACCCTCAAACAGTAGTTTGGAGTCATTACCTTTAGTTATCAGCAGTTAAGAAAAGTTATTTTATGCCTAGTCTTTACTGAAAATAGAGTACTCCTTACTGGATATTTTGAGGACTTCCTAAGGAGAATTAAAAATATTAATGGTTGTGCATATGACTTTGACATCACTAAGCTTTGCCAAGGTGGAAAACCATGAAGAACATAAAACATGAATTTAACTAAAGTTTGGCAGGAAGAGTGCTACAAATCCATCTGGATGAGCCCAGAGAAGTGAATGGTCTGCTTTAAGAACAAAATTAAACAGAAGTTTCTTAGAATTCTCAGCAAACATTAACACCATCTGAATCCTTTTCTTTTAAACTCCTCAGAGAATACTTCCTTTCTTTTGGCAGCACACACAAAAAAAAAAAACCACCCAACAAAAGAAAGAACTCTAGCCATTTACACTTGGGGAACAAAATCTTGGTTTAATCCAGCTACAAGACAAATCAACAGTGAAAAAAATACTGGATTGGGTGACACAGTACACACAGCACATGCTGGCTAGTAGGGTTCTCAGGAAAGGTAATCCAAATGAAGTGGATCAACATGATAGCCTTCACATAGTAACAAAAAAGCCATTTCAGCACAAGATACTTTTAATTCAAGCTGAGGGTAACCAGTTCCGGACTCTATCTTAATAAAACAAAAAAACACTTCTCAGTATTCCGAGTATTTCAGAGATGCCATCTTAATTACTAAAGCTCTTACTCCCACATATTTTAAGTAGTCTTAATGTTTTTCATTACACTTACTGGATTTAACGTGTTGATTTAACTATGTGATGACACTCAATCAAGCAAAAGATACCAGTTTTTCTTAGTATCTCTACCACCACATTATGTGGTACTAGGCAAGTCTATACAACACAGTTAAAGACACTAACAAGCTGGAGGAGCCATGCCTACAGTATCACTCATGCCATATTTGTAACAGAAATAAAAACTGTTCATTGAGCAGCAAGTCTCAGAGCTTTAAGTTTTAGGCAGCACTCAGAGCCTGAAATATTCCTATAATTGAACAGAGACCCATCAAAACCAGAGTTAACACAGATAAGCTATATTCAGAGTTTTCTAAACTGCATTTGGAATCCAAAGGTCAGAAATACTTCTTCAGACCTGCAGATAAACACTTCTGAGCAGTTTTGGTGCCTCCACTCCTTTCTCAGCCTCCCATCAAGAACCAATTAATTTTTTTGGAATAAAAGCCAGGCTACTATTGACTGACCAATCTGCAATCCTCCTAGTTTTACCTAGCCCTCAGGAGACATAGAACAAAATCTTCAGCACCACTTGCTTTCACACCTGATGTCAGATTATATCCCTGCATAATATTACCAGTACTTATGATGATGCAGTCATCTATTACATATCACAGCTTGAGGTCCTGGTTCCAAAGAACTATCAAACCCAGCTACTTAATATCATATGAAGGTTGATACCTAGATTCTGCATGTTTGTTAGCTGTAGCATTAGGAATGACTTCTTGTGCAAACAAAGCATACTGCTGAAGAACATTAAAAACACTGGAATCACAGTGAAACAGATTTTTCAGCTGAGAGCTGAAGCATAAAATTTTTCCGCTGAGAGCATAAGAGCATAAAATTTAGTCAGTGTGTTTCTTCTTCACTATTTGAGGTAAGAAAAATATTTCCAAATAAGATCGGAAAAATCAATCCTAAAAAAGAAAGTCTCTAAGACTCACTAGCCACATAGGATTCCAAAGAAGTCAGCTTAGCATCCATCATCCCTGTGCAGCCTAAAGCCTATGAAGCTGCCACTAGTCTAGGAAAATCATTCACTGATCTTTTGCTGAAAGGCCAAAACCAAAAAAATACTGTAGCAACAACTACCACTCATGGATGCTTTTAAAAAGCCTACCAGCAATTGCACAAGAAGAGTAGTAGAGGCCACACAGATTAATTAGGGTCTACTCCAAACCCTGCCACAGAGCTATTACATACACTAATAAGCAAATCAGCTGAAAAGAAAGAATACAATATGAGTATTTCTCCTGTCGGGCACTATAATATTATGTCTTAAAAACAGATACATTAAAAAAGGCAAGAGCCTTCCTGACTAAAAGGTAAATAAAAAATAAATAAAACACTAGTATTTCTGGCTGGAGCTCATGTTTCAACAGCTACCTACTTTCTAAAAACAGTTAAAAATTACAAGAACAAACTAAAAAAACAGCCTCTGTCAGAATGAATGAATGATGGGTAACATTTTTCAGCATGCTGTCTATCAAAGAACTTCTGTCATGTGGCTTGAAATGTATTTTTTTGTAGGTGTTGTGGGGTTTTGTTTATTTTGGGGTTTTTTACCTCTTTCTCAGAACACAGGCAACAAAGATCTTACCTTAGCAAAGTATTTTGTGGTGCTTTTCCTTTCCCTTCAGTTTACATCTACAACAGGGAGATTAGGGCTTAGGGAGTTTGGCTGATTGCTATCAGTGCAAAATGCAATCTGCAGAGCACTCTTTACTAGGTATGTGATCACAGTTTACAAGGGAGTGACAAAACACAGACAGCTTAGGAGACAATGGCAATAAGGACACAAAAATTTTGATTCAAGACACAAATATGTCTAATCCCAGATTAATAACTCAGCAAGAGCAATTTTAAGAACTGTGTAAGAACAAATAAAACTACTTCATATAACCACAGACTGTGCATGCAAAACTGTTTAAAAGACACTAAATAACCATAGAAGCAAATCAAACAACTCTTGTGTTATTAACAAACGCAAGAACTAGCCAAAATAAAGCTAAAACACGCAAAGTTTTATAAAAAATGTTATTCATGAGCACATTAACATAGACCTTATATCTGACCTATCTAACTACCACTTACTTGAACATTTAAAATAATTTAACCCTAAGAACTTGGTATTACTACATCAGTGCTTGAGAAACAAAAGAGCTTTTCATTGCTTTTAGTTTACCAGTATAAGCCATCCAACTGTTCTTTCAATGCAATAATAATTCAAATTATTTCATATTTGTATTATTTGGTTACAAAAGTTCTACATACTTGTGAGATTCTCATAATGAAGCTTAGTCATTAAATTACTCCACGAAACCCACAAGCACAGGACTCCTGCAGTTGTAATCAAGTTGTTTATGCATAATATCACTCACCCCATATCGGCAAGTCATCAATATACATCTGGTACCAATAGTGATTTTTGATAGCATACACAAACGCGTCTCTTCTGCCTTTATCCAAGTCAATTTCACAATAAGTAGTCTGCATTACATCATCTGCAAAAAATTAAAGCACAGTTAATGATTTATTAATGAGCTGGCTCAAAGCGAAGGCAAACCAAGCAAATGGAGGGATGGATGTTGCTGGAGTCCAACTCCTCCTGGTTATCCTCAAGTAGGTAACAAAAAAGGACATTTAGAAAGGAACTATTAAAGCAATTAAATGATTGTTTTTGTAATTCTGCCTTTCCACCTGCAGAAGCTTCCCACAGACTGGATAAGGAAAGGTTTTCTTTTGCTTCTTCACCCACACTACATTAAGATCCATTTCCTGATGGCAGCTTTACCTGGACAGATCATAAGACCTCTTTTACTTTAACACAAGGTACAAAATTATTAACAAATACCTAAAACTGTGTATGGTATTATATATATGGTATAGTTTAATCAGGCTCACTGACTAGGAATACTGTTTGAAAAAACTAAAACTTTTTAAAGGCCTCAGCAATTTTCAAGAAACTACCATAAATGAAGAAACAAAGCGATCAGGGTAAAAGTAGAAAAAAAGGACAGAAGACAAAAATAGGAATAATGCAAATAACACACAAGAGGCTGCATTTGGAAATAAAATAAATCCACCTCTTCAAGCCAGAAAGCTATTTTTCCCCATCTACAATTCATAAGTAATGCAGTTAGCAGCCATTCTTTCATATCCCAATTTCCTTCCCTAATGTTTCCTTTTCAAGTGAAACAAGATAGAAGGGCTCATATTTACAAGAATTCAGGCAGCAAAGGATTTAGAGATTTGTAAGAAACAGATTTGGAGAAAAAAAAAAAAATGCCACATTTGCTTCTTAGCGAATGTTTTCACTCTGCAAATAGTGAAACAAAGTGAACATAAATAATTCCAGCTCCCCCTCCCTCCTCTTTTTGTCATCACTGGACCCATTTCTAGTAGATAAAATTAATTTATGCCCCAAGTACAACTCTAATATGTATCAAAATTCAGCTCACTTTCTCCGATACACTAACTGCAATATAAAGCTTAAACAGGAAATCAAATCACCTGCACAGAAAAAGCACCATCAAGTAGAGTATTTCCAACACAAAACACTATTTCTCTGATAACGACAGTTTGTCAAAATGAAAATATGAACAGGACGTCTGGTCAAGCAAAACTGAAGCAAAGCCTGGTGAGGCAAGACAATAAGAAACCAGCCAACAGCCACCCTGCAGAATTGCAGTGCTTTCCTGTAGTCTCTTTCTCCTATTTCTTATGAAAACTTTAGTATTTTTTATTTTTTCTTCTTGCAAGACCTACTGAATGCACTCTAAGCTTCAATTTTTCACTGAAAAAAAAAAAAAAAAAAAAAAAAATCAGTTTTCAGACTGACTTACTAGGCAATAAACCTTTTCCCGGGCAGGGGGAGGTGGGGGGGAAGGGAAGAGGAAAACAACTGTCCTAAGAAGACTTTTAGACCATGGATTACATCTTCAGGACCTGTACTGATACATTCAGGAGAGAGAAGCCATTAAAGTTGGCACCACAGCTGAAACACAGACTTACATTATTATAAATCCAGGCCTCACAGTTTGCATTTATGCCTCTACTGAGCTGGATGCTATACTTTTTGGACTATGTTCTCTGAAAAAGTGACTCTGCTTGGCATTTTTTCACTTTAACAGATTTATTTGAGTCATCTTCACATTAATTAAAAGCAAAAAAAAAAAAAATCTGAATCCTCATCTTCTGGATTTGTTGCTAAGTAGGGATTAATTCTTTCCAAAATACTTGGCACTTTATTGTCACACTCCAGCAGTTTCATACCATACTCAAAAGAAGGATAACGCCTTCCTAATGTTAAATTTTTTAACTCACAAAGGATTGTTCAGCACACAGAGGTCAAATGAAACTATACTGTGAATTAAAATAAGTGTAAAAGAGAAACTGGTAGAGGCTGTTAAATGAAGCATTACCTCGCGCTGGAGCATGGAGGCCTGGTCAGGGGAAGTGCCATGGAGGTCCAGGCTGGTTTTAGGTGGCTCTCTCCTGACTGGTTCACCGCCCCCCCACAGAGCAGTACCAGCACAGCTGAAGGACAGCATGGGGATGGGAGCAAGTACTACTACTGAAATAAAAAAATCACATGAACTACAAGTGCTCTTTTTAGAGATCTTTCCCATTTCATAGCCTGAATACAGCAGCCTTTGTTTGCAGTTATTAGCCAAGACAAATTCGGTATTAGATTGCAATCTAATATCAAGTTACTCCATGGGCTTTCAGACCCCTGGAATTTGCCACTTTTTTTTTTTTAAAACTAACTGAAACAAGCCATTCCACATCCAATACTCTAGGATGTAAACAGTGGCTTTTGCTGCTGTAAAAAAAAAAAAAAAAAAAAAAAAAATGCTTCCATGTGGAGGAGGACATCAAACTGCTACATTTTGGGAAGGACCCTGGCACAGAGAAATTCTGTTTATTTGCATTTCTTCCATAAATAGCTCGACCTTGAAACATCATTTGAAGTTAAATGACCTCACCGACATCTGACCAGCCTGCAGATAGCAGCATGCCACCAAAAAACCATCTTCATCCATTTTTATGGATTTTATTCCCAGTATTCAGCACAGCAAAAGACATCACAGTGATACTACAATCAGCTGTGGATCAGCTATGTTACAAGTTACTCCACCGCACATACACAAAAACCCAGCAGAATCATTAGAAACAACCTCATTCAATTCTTGCAAAACATAGGCATGACTTTACATACAGTATGTGATTTCACCCTCAGCCATACTACACAGTACAGTTCCTCTCACCTCCCCGTAAAACAACTGAACAAAGGGATGAAGACAAGTGCTCCTTTCTCCAGCCACTAAGAACGGGGAAGCTGTCGATTAGTTACAGGACAGGCTTAGATGGTTAAACTTAAGCCCACTGTGTTAAATGATTAAACAAAAGTAGCTTAGGAGAACATTCAGTGGCTGGGGAAGCTGAAGTCTATTTCATTACAGCTTTACCAGATCTAAAGTTTTGTATATGTTAAAATAGTTCTTATCCAAGTTACGGTTGTGCGTGTATCCAAGAGGAGTGTGAAGTTAGAGGTATGTTTTGTGCCACGTCTACAACAGGGATGTCAAAGAGGTAACATCTGCTATATAATGCAGCTTCAGTAACATCAATAGCACATTAAGCAAATTTTAAAAGAGCATGAAAGCAAGACTCATTACAAAAGCAGGTGCACTTGTGCCACATTTCAAATTTCCTGTGAACAGTCACATCAGTTGGGGTTTATTCAAACATGTAAACCATATAAAACCTCATTATACCTGACCATCTCCTAGTACAACACTGAACATCATCCTGAATGGCTGTCATGTTTTCTAGAGGTGTTGCAGAAGAAAGTCTTGGGGAAGGAGCTCTCCCTTAGAGGCATGATCATTTAATAACAATTCTAAGTAAGCTCAAAATTCAACTATGTTAAAAAAGATCCTTTCCCCCTTTAAATTCATCTTCTCTAATTGGTATTGTATGACAATGTCAAAAATTAATTTTCTAATTGAAGTTGCTCTGATCCCAATGTCCAATACATTTAATAATTCACTAGGTCTCAGGTGTCACGTAGAGGATGTCAATTCAAATGCTTGAATAAAGAACTTGACATATTACATAGAAAGCATTATTACTCTAAATTTAGCTTGGCAAGAGAATTAAGCCAACTGAAAACCTAAAGTCATATTGTAAGTGTATGTTAATAATTCATTACTTTCTTCACATAGATATTTATACAGATTTGAGACCCATGATATAGGAACAACATTTTCCATATTTGTACCAAAAGGGAAATCTGGCTATCCTTTCACAGGACATGTTTTTAAATGCAAGTAGAAATGCTACTTCATGGATGCTTGAATACACTGTAGATTTGCCCCACTAGTCACCACTAAGAGCATTCAAGTGCAAGCCTCCATTCTCAGCAGAATACATTTCTGCAGAGCCATAATTTTCTTACTCTGTTTCAAAATTACAGGCAAGGTCCTCTGATTCAATGGACAGTTTTACTTATGCAGCCTATGGTACTTCAGTCACTGACAACTGCAGCCTAAATAATTCTTCAAGTATGATGAACAACATGCAGTTTCACACTTACCTGCTACTGCTGTCCAGTCAAACTATGTTGAGAAGGGAACTGTCTTTTATTGCAGAAGCTAATTTATTAGAACAATTCTAATTCCCTTTTACACACTGCAGAGGATAAAAACCTAAAAGTATAAAATCCCAATCTAATTTAATTTTCTAAACTCTTACAACACTCATTTAAAGATGAAAAATACCTGTAATTGTTAGTCTTGCCATAATCCCAAACACACGAGGAAAACCATGATTACCCGGTAACTTAGACCTTAGATCTGATTGACATATTAATGAATAAAATCTGTACAAGTCTTTCAGACGGTCATGTCAACATTTTGAAAAGCAGGTCCCTACAGTTAGGTATTTGGATGCATATTCAAGCATCTAAATGATAATTGAAAGATACTTGAGCAGTTCTTAATTATTTCAGCTGTAGATGTTAGATACTCAATTCTCCTTGAAACCGTATTTTTTACTTAAGAATATATGAATCTATTTGTGCCAAACCACAAGCTTCTATTTCTTAAGGAAAAAAACCCCACAAATCACCCAGAACTCTGTTTCAACTACGTTGCAGCAAATTCTGGACCACTGGTGCAGAGGTAGGAGGATGGATCAATCAAAACAATAAGATAAAACGTATCCATTACAAAAAAACCATTCAATTCCACCATATAAACCAGTTACAATTTTTTTGTTGTTGTTGTTACAAGTGAGCACCGCTTCAGCCAAGAACAGGATCTACCACTAAAGGCTCACCAAAAAACTGAGCTACCATCACATTTCAACAAACAAATTGGAAAATAATTCTTTACACGAATGCTAAATTTTAAGGGTTGGTCTATGAAATTTAAATTTTCCTACATATAAATTGTACTGGTTTTATGATGCTTTTAAACCTGTAAAAAAGAATCTCAGAGAGCAATCTTTTGTTATGGGTTTTTACTTTAAAAATCTGTATATGAAAGGGATTTGGATTTCAACAAATTTTACATAATATTACATTAAATAAGTGCTAATAACTACTGCTACAATTAATTTAAACTTGTTACTCTGAAATTTGGAAAAAAATTATATTTTAATATGTTAAATAGCAGATTAAATATAGTAAAATAGTCTTGACTCCCTTTCAGATTTCACTTCATGGATCCACTGCTAGAAATATGAAAGCACCTCCTGATACAGAAACTGCTGGATGCCAGCTAACAGCAAAGAGATTACTGTCTTCATCTTTTATGCAGAGGACACAGATTGTAAGGGAAAAAACTAGAAGTGCACATGGACAGCTTCCCAAATCACGTACACATACTTAGTCATCAACCAGCTACCATGTACCATCTGCTTTATAGAAAACATCTGACCTGCAGCCACTTTGGTTCGGAGTTAAATTCACTGTAGGTCCAATACAGACTGGCAATCTACACAGAGCACCAATGCATTAATAATAATAAATTTTTTAAAAGCAACAAAGGACATGGATGAAGAGGAATTCCCCACCTGCTGGGAAATGTACTAGCACATCAATCACTTATACTTACAAGCCATAAACACCCGATTCTTTCAGAAATCTTTACTCTTCCATACCCATTCAAAGCTTCTTTTGGACAACACCACGCCCTGTCTGACTGGAAGAATATACCCCAATATAGCAACTACATCCCTGGTGTGCACTGGTAAAGCAATTAGAGGTCCAAAAAGGCACCTGAGAAAACTAGTATGAGTGGAAGATCAGACCTTAAACCCTGAAGAAATTGCAATAAACTCTTTGTAACAGAGACAATCTAAAGCTTTCTGTGTCAAAACGTCAGCACAAACAGTTGTGAATCCAAATTTGAAACTCCTAATCTGAAAGCAAAATAAGACTTAAGGAAAACAGGTTTACCTGTTGTAAAGAACTATGGAAGACAACAGATAAACTAATCTGGCAGGGACATAATCAAAACCAAAACAATCACAAAGTACAAAAGCCACAGCACTTTCCCACCATTCTGGATTTGTGTTTGTCCAGGATGACTTTGGCTCCCTGTAGTTCTGATTCCCAAAGATTTCTTCTAACCAAATAGGAATGGTACCTATTTCTATGTATTGAGGAACTGGAGGTTCAATGTTACCAAAGTTGTACTTATTTTTGTTTAAGAAAGCGTGTGTTAAGTACCTCCAGTACTCTGCTTCTGCAGATTTCCTTCAGAAATGGCAGAAAATACCCTGGAAAGCTGAACTACATCTGACTACAGACTATAGAGTGGCCACAAGAGGATACAAAAGATAAACTGAGTTTCAGCTATCTCGTGTTATTTCAGGAAAAATTAGATGAACATGCTTTACAAATATAAACCAGTCTGACTACTACATGTACTTCTGGTACAACAGAGGGTCCAGCTTTTTTGGACCCTTAAAGAAGAAAATTTTTTCAAGTATTTCAGCCAGTCCCTGATGCTGAGCTAACCCTTGCCTTCCCTTGGTATCACCTCAACACTTCCACCAGAAAAACAGAGTACTAAATTACTACCTCCAGGTCAATAAAGAAAAGGGTAGGTCCAGGACAGAAGTGAACTACAGAACAGCACAACCCGCTCAGTACTCCCAGTCACAAAATGAAAGACCTGATCTAACAAAAATTTTATATGATAGAGGAAAAAATTAACTATGGATAATCTTCAGAAAATAAACTGGGGAATAGGACACTTCATAACTGTAAACATTAACTCACAAACCTTCCAGTCTTTTCAATTTGGTGCCACATCTAGAGAGTACACTTGGCACTGGAAGAACACAATCGCTTTGTAAAGCTGGGGCAATTAAAGGAAGTAAAATTTACATAAATATTTATCATATTCTGACAATAGAAGTTTTACTTAAATCCTGACAGCCATGTTGAATTGCTGCCAATTGCCTTTTCCTTTCCATTTTGCATTTCTGAGCATATGCTATGAGATTTGACAGGAAAACTATGTCCCCCATATTGAATAAAATTTTCAGCAGGCTACAAGTCTTGCACACCAGTAACAGGACTGTTTTCTAATGTTTGTGCAGGTACGGTTCCCCTCTTAAAGATTCAACTCCAAGTTCCTTTAATGCAGAGATGCTATCCCTTATGCAACTTAAAAATTTATGAAAAATTTATGATTTTAACAAACTTTTAATCTTTAGTTCCACTTAACTTACTTATAATAAAGCCAAAATCAACTCTCTTATTTTGCAGATGTCCAGTTTCAGATAAAACTGCTATAACTTCAAGAAACTAAGTCCCATCTGACTGCAAATGCCCAGGCAAGAGATACTGTTGCCTAATTTCTCCACCCAGTTAAGCACTGGTGATACAATGAAGTGTAGCCCTCAAGGGAAAAAGAAAATACATATACACAGAAACTCAAATTGGATGAAATACATAAAAATGTTAAAATTCCGTTATTCGAAGCTCTGCAGCTACCAGTTACAGATATCTGAAAATACCCTGGGTACCAAAAAAACCTACATAGAGAAGTTATGCAATAGATGGCTCAGACCCTAACACCAAGAAACATATTTGCAAAAGAAGTTAAATGTCATCTCTAGAACAGTATGGAAAGAGGGAGAGAGCAAGAAACAACAGAAAAAAAAACCAGACCAGCTTCATCCTGACTGGCATATGATGAGTTAGAGCCAGTAATACAAAGGTATTTTTCAAAGGTATTTTAAACCAGACAGTAACCAGAAGGATACAATAATTAACTTTGTGTTAAGGTAGAACTTTGAGACACTGAGTCCTTGCTATTCCTTTCTAACTGCAGAGAGTCTGTAAGTATTCAACATCACAGGAAAAAATTACGTCTTTAGAATTGATAATTCCAGAATACTAATTCCAGTAAATATACTTTTAATCATTCATATGCAGAAAGCTTAGTTTTACTTTATAAAATGGAACCAGTTACTTCAGAAGCATGTATCTGCTGCCAGCATCTTCCTTAAATGGCACATAGATGAAAACTTTACTGTAAACTGAAAAGCAAATAGTAGTAGACAACCGTGCAGGGTGTTTCAGGGAATACGAAATACACTCAGTTGCTAGCAGCAGCAAACTTTCAGTACTTCCATTAAAAAAACCAAATTTTAAGAGTTCGTGGGTTCTTTCAGGTGAGTAAATGCACTTTCAATTGCTTACCTTTAAATTTGATGTCAAGACCACTAAATTCCAATTCAACTCCTTGAAGTGCTTCTCCTAGGGTTTCATGGTAATGGCTGATGCTTTTTTTTGATCCCACACAGAAAGGAAGAGAGAAGTATTTGTACGTTTCTTGGCGATTGTGGTAGGGTCCTACTGTATTCATCCATAAAACAACTTCCTCTTTATCTTGGTACTGAAAGATAAAGTTATTGAGTTAGATGAGAAGCCCAGCAGAATAAAAGTATTCAAGAAACTCATTCACATTAACTAGCAAGGCAGGATTGTTCAATCACAGGCAACAGTTACATTTAAAGACAGTCAAGTATTTTTGTCTTTTGGGTGGCAGGGATTCCAGGACAAGATTTTCAGCCTGCTTTCCTACAGAAAAAAGTCTTAGTTGATCATGTAGTTTCTTAGAGCCTATCACTGAGGTATCAGAAGAAGGGGATTAATAGAAATGTAATAGAAAACCAGAAGATGCAGAGAGCGGAAGCAGAGAAAAGCAGAAGTCTCAAAAATAAGTAAGCTTTTACAAATTTTGTGGAAACACGCATCAGTTAAAAGCAAAACTCCATACTTACTCCACCGAGAGAAAGGAAATATCAGACTAACATCTTGTTAAACAAGATCTTAGCAAATAAATCCAGCAATCTACCATGATGACAGCTATACTGCATTTTGCTAAAATGCAACTCATTTTCATTTTTGTAATGGTATAAATTACATTCAAAATTCCTAGAAGAGTGCAATGGCCTCACGGGAAGCACTAAAATATTAAACTGTTGCATACCTACAGTAGCCAAGAGACAAGAAAGTCAGACAGAAGGACTGTATTTTGATGCATTTCCAATATTCTCACAGTAAAAAACCAGAACAGCAAGGAGCCTGGTGGCTGCCATGAAATTCTTAGTTGGAGCATCTACCCTTCGCTTTCCACAGCTACTGTTAGCCAGGAAAACTTATTCCTTGGCTAGGAGCCAGTAATTTTTTTCAAGCCCTTGTAACTTTTCAACAACAAAGTCCTTAAAGCCATTCATCTATCAGTATTCAAATACCGCATGGATTCGGGACAATTAAGTTATCTGAAGTCATTGCTTGCACTGTATCTGACTGCATCTGGATGAGGTATCAGGTTTGCTGGATACTACAAAGCCTCTCACCCAACACAACTCCTTCACCTACTATAATTTCAACAGATGAGGGACAGTGATCTAACTTCTAAGGCAGGAAAAAAAACCACTTATAACTGTACACACCTGCAAGCACAATCACCATATAGATCCTGATTATTTTTTTTTTAAGAACAGAAAAATAAAGTACTATTTTAAGACCAATACATAAGCACAGAACACATTGGAAAGGAAAACAAAGTAAAGTGTTAATTAGCTGTAACTATTTCATAAAGTACAGCTGAAATACTGAATACAGTTCTGCATCTCCCTTTTTAACAAATGAACAAAGGTTCTCCAACTCCATTTATTCTGAATAACCACAGTCATTTAACTCAGGAATAACTCGCGACATGCAGAATGCAATGAATTCTTCAGATGAGGTGTTTAAAAGTTAAACTCAAGGATTTAAACAAACATGCTTTGGAAAGTAATTTAATCCATTTATACTACCATGTCATCTCAACTACAAGCTTCATCTCTTTTGCTTACAAAGATGCCCAAGGGTCATTCCAGCCTCTTATGTGAGTGATCTCCAACAAGAAACTTTAAATATCATACTAATTTCATTCTGAGCTGCAGCAGAGACCAAACACCAATTTCACAAACCTGCCCCTTTGCAGAGCACATACTTCAGAACAATTCTGGCAGGTAAAGAATGTAAATGATGGAGCAAAGGAAGAGTAAACACCACAGCAAGAGAAAGCAGACATTCCTCCTCTGCCAGCAACCAGAAAGGTTATACCAGTGCAGCACAGTGGTCCAACTTCAAAGAAAGTTGGGAAAGAAGGAAGAAAGAAAGAAAAATCACAGTTCCAGCCCCCTCAGCAGCAAAGCAGATAGGGGAGAATCTGCACTACGGTACCACCTCTAGCTCTTGCCAATGTAGCAAGGGACACGCTGCTCCATATCTCTTTCTAGTCTGTTATGCCTAGCACGGCTTCTGTTTCTTCCTCTAACAGCTGCAGAACATATTTTCAGCCCTTTCTCAAAATGGTCTTGTCAAGAGCCCAGCTTAGCATTATTCCTGGTAATGCAACGGCTCACACGTGAACCGAGCTACATCTCTGTACAACCTTCAGTAATAGAATATGACAACATCCTTAGGTCTGTGAATTCATCTTTGACAGTACCTGAATAAAGAAAGCATTGACCACTGCTTCACTTAGCTTCTTGTTGCTGACCTGCTTCATACTGAGTTGGAACCTCTGCATTTTTTGAACTACACCAGGTCACCTTCAAGTGACAGAAACCAACTTCTTAAGAACATATCATTCAAAATCTTGTTACATTTTCTGATCTAATAATGTAACTACGTTGTACAATAACAAATCTGGTCTTTGCTTCTCTCTTATCCACGTGACACTTAGCCCACCTTCAGGGCCTACAAGGTTCTCCCATGCTGACCCCAAGATGCCACCAGCCTGCTCTAGAGAAAAAAAGAAACCACACCAAACACAAGCAGAGAACTCAGTGTACATTTATTCCTTCCTTCTTTCTCTCAACCATCCCAGAACAGCACAAGAGAAAGCTGTTCAGGACTGTTACGTGAATGAACACAGCACCTCAGCCGTCCCAAGCTAAACCTCCCTCGCAATCAGCAAGTCCCTAGCTATAGCAATTTGCAGGCCATCAGATGCATTTGTTGGGTTTTGCTCATTCTCAATTATAAAGATGAATTTTCACATTTAAATACATTTCCCTGTCATGACATATCTCATCCTTATAATCTTACCCTAGTGGTAGGGTAATTCGGTGGCAAGAACTCAGTGCTATCAAAGAGTTCAAGTTTGTGATTGTCTGGGGGTTTTTTGTTGGGTTTTTTGGGGTTGTTTTTTTTTATTTATTATTATTGCCTTCACAATATCAAAGCATCTACAATAAATAATAGCGTCAACACACTTAGAGGAAAACAATTCTTATTTAGGAAAGCCAAAGGACTAGAGCAGGACTGTTCTGTCACCTCTATTTGAAGACTTCTAGGTCCAGAGAAGGCTAACATACAACATACCTTCCAGCAAAACCACCACACTGCAAGAGAGTTAACATAAAATAACTTGCTAAACAAAGCCCTGGGTTCCAAGGGAGCCACAGCACTCAGGTATACTGTATCAGTACCAGTCAGGTTTTGGTCAGCACATTCATCGTCAGTCTTGCAGTAGTTTCAACTACTGTTGTGCTCTTTTATATCTTCTTTCAGCACATGTGGAGTCTCCTGCAAACTGTGCAGAACTCATAGCCACAGAGAACAGGAAGAAAATTTCAGCTCCATAGCACCGCCTTTCATTCTCAGCAGAAAGAACGTACTGAAGAAATAATTCTCATTTCATCAGGAACTGATCAGCCTTAGACACGCCGGACAAAATGACAAAACAGAAGAACCCTGACTTCTTGTTTTTACTGTTCTGATAGTGGCTGATGAACAACTGTTCAACTGTACCCTCTGAGCTTTGAATACAACAGAGCAATCAAAATCCTATTGCCTTCTGCTAGCCATAGCAGGCAAGTCAGCAATAACTCATAGTCAAAAACCAACACAGAATAAGGCAGGATGCAAAGAGCCCAATGGTCTCTTTCAGGAATTGTTACACAGCAACATAAAACTTGCATAACCAACTCTAAGTGCGATAGTTTCCTTATCTTCTTCTATATAATCAGCAAGAAAAATACTTTGACTCATTGAGATTCCGCCAGATCCCAGAAAAAAACTTGAAAAAAGTATCAAGAACTCCCTATCGACACAGGTATGGAACAAACAAAAGAGGAAGTCAGCTAGTGTGCAAGAACATCCATGTCAAACGTCCAATGAGTTAAATTCACCAAGAACAGCAGTCATCATAAGAGATCTAAATAAAAATTTATTTCTCTCATTCCACATATGATAAGGGTCCTGAGTTACTATTTGACCCATCACCGCCATAGGACTTTTAGAAAGGAAACAAACATATTCCTATAGCAAGCTTCAGTAGTTTAGCTACAGCTGTAACAGGGGCAAATAGTAATGAAGTAACATGTCAAATGGTAAAATAATTTGAAGTAAAATTCATGATCTGCAGAGCAGACTCCAGATAATTTGAGTGACGTAAATCTAGTGTGTAGTTACACTTATACATTAATGCAATTTTATCTTTATCCCTTATGAAAACAAGTGCCAAACATCTCCCTAACATGAAGGACTTCACTGTACTGAAGTACTGCTATTTCAGAAATGCTTTTTTGTTCTTCATTCTCTTTCCTGACTTGTTTGCACAGAATTAGATGCTGGAAAGGCAGCTTTTTACATGCCAGAAGATGGACACCAGGTTCTTATTAAGAACATAGCTACTGACCAGGCAAAAAAGGTCAACGAATAAGATGCTGCCCCTCTCTGCCCTGGTATACCTCAGCAAGCTCTTCTGCTCTTGGTTCATATGAAGGGACAATATATTGCATATAGCTCAGAGATTGTAATAAAATTCACAGACACAACCATTGAACAACTTAGCAATGCTGCCAGAATTCACAGAGTTCACTACTTCCAAACATGAGAGAAGACTACAAAACACAATTTTAAATACCTTTTACTTAGTATAATTTATGAAAAATGTAGTACATACTCTGTAAGCACAGCAAGCTTGGCTTTGCATCTTTTTCTGCACTAAGCTTAATATCAACTCAGTCATTTCAGTAACTGTGGAGTATATAATGATCTATTTCAACTGTGCAAAAACACAGTGGCAGCCTGAACAAGTCTCAGCATCAGCACAACTTACCTACCATATGCTGGTACAATCTGATTAATGGGAGGTAAACCTCCAGAAACTTTTTTCCATAATTGCCACCCAGGTGGTGGAGGACCAATCTGGACCTCAAGTGCAGCCACATATCAGCCACAACCCCAAACACAGCTGGGGACATCTGTTCCAAAGCAGCACAATACGGTCATGCTGCCTGTTCAGAGCACTGGGCTATAGAGCTGTTGTGCATGTGTAAGCTAAAATCACATTACACCCATCCATACCGGCAACAAGGCAACACTACCACTCTAGGCCCCTGCAGAATATTAAATTGGCACAAAGCTTGCGTGGTTTGACCTGGCCAAGCATGGACTTCTTCCATGACAATACAACTGCTGAAAACTCGGGTCTGCGCACCACACAGAGACAATTTCCATACATCTGTATGGTTTAAAACTTGTCCAAACATAGCAGTGTTGAGACTATATTCAGCACAGTACATGCATCTTTCTTTCCTGTTACCCAATAGGGCACTTGTAATGTGGAACACAACTTCATGTTGTCTTTGCACAACCACAAAAGTTAGCATGGTAGCCCTAGAAATAAACTATTTATTCTATAAAACAATTAAGGCTAGATTAAGTCAGCATATGAAAGGCTGCAGAAAAGGATATAAGAGACGCAGGTTGTTCATACTCTTTGTAAACCAGGAAAAACACTTCGCAAAACAAATGATGGAGGCACAGAAAGGATTAAAACTACCAAATCTTATGTGATGATTCAGCAAAATAAATTCAAATCAAGATAGTTTCTTTCAGAAAGTATGCAGTTTTACTCCTTTTCTTAAGTTAAAGTTTGGACTGAGGCTTTCCAGAATGCAGTTCCTTAAACACCAGCACATATTTCAGGGGAAAAAAGGATCAACATTATCTGTTACTGGCAGAGCAAAGCTGCAAAAGGAAAAGAAATAAGAGAGGCAACAAGTAAGACTCAGCTGGCAAGTAATATCCCAGGCTTCTAGTCCCCAGTATCTTACAGATACTCTATCTATCAAGCACTGTGATAACATGCAATTCTTGCAGCTCACATCCACAGTCTATTAAACTCTGGATTTCAGCCTCATGCTCTACTTCGGATAGAACAGGTTATCTCTAGCAACATCTCTTCATTTCTCTCTGAATTTTAGGCCTCACCAAAACATGGCTACAACTGTACCAGCAGCACAGGCTGAACTATTGTACGAGCAGTCCTTTTACTGTTATGCTTCCTAGACGCATGAGGTTGCTCAGGCACACCACGTCCTGCTTCTGTGACATCTATTTCACCTCTTCAAAATGGAACCACAAGAACTTAAAGAGGAACCAGGCTACTTGTCTGCACACAACTTTGTATGCAAAGAGGTATTTTACATGCACTGAAATGTTTTCTACAGTGTTTCTGCAAATGCAATTTACAGATACTATACAAATTCCATGATTTTATGTATTAATTTTAAACAAGCTTTACAGTCTCAGGGCTTTAACATACTTCATCGGGTTAAAAGTCAAAAATGCTTTTTTGAATCATTATAAATTAGTAATTTTGCTATGCAGTATAGGCTGGGTTTTATTTATTTTTTCAATGTTTGTCATGTATTTCCATGCTTACGGAGCACTGATAATTAAACTGAAGCAACATTAAAATTAAAATGCTACCTACTCCCTAGACCATTCCCCTGCAAAAAAAACCCCAGGGTATTTCACAATATTTTTACGGTTTAACTACTTTATCATCAACTCCAACAAGTCTAGCAACAGAAGATGTGAAAGCAGAGGCCAGGCAGGAGCCCACCAACACCGCTTCTGCAGGAGCAGCGTATGTTGTGATGAGGCTACCAGTATCTCATCTATACTATCACTTCCACAAGTAAAAGGCCAACTGTTGAAAAATGGTGCAATTATCAGAATACAGGCAAAAGCAGGTAGAAGACATGCTCTGAAGCATGGAAATAAGTTAAAGAATCAGCAAACAAGTTTTCAGTCAGTTTCTGATAAATTGTTCTGTGGTCAGAAGTTACGCTGCTGCACTGTCTTTTGATAATGCTGTGTCAAATCCCAATTTCTCTTCACTTACTATTGATTTTAAATACCCAAGTCTTTATCTTAAAATTCTATTTGTATTATTCTTCCCCTAAAGAAACGCAGACATCATTTTTAAAGACTATTTCAAATTTAAGATAAAGGATTTAGCTGTTGAACCAATGAAGCTATCCATACCTAATATCTCCAGAAACACTAATACTTATAGTCCTAGAGCCTCATGCGGCATCCTCTCACAATTACCTTTTATAGTATTTGCCTATGCAGTCACAGAGTTAGAAAATAAAGGACACATATAAAACGTCAACAGCTAGTTTCTATTGATACAAAAATACATATTATAGCACACGTGTATTATTTTATAAATATGGTATACTATTATGTATTACAGCAGCAGTAAAGGAATTAAAAAATTAACCTGCTAACGCAGAGCATTAAACACTTAAGTCAGTACTTCTAAGTGCTCAGCATGTTCAACACAGATAAGGCCCTGTACACTGGCGGTTAAAAGCAAACTATGGCAAAACGTAATGACACACCCTCACCCAGATATGACCAAGTGCTTGGGCACAAGAAGTTACACGCTAGAGCACTAATAAGGAAATGGCAGCACATAATGGTGCGTATTTGTACCAACAGGACTCCAGTCTTAAAAGTTAGTGAAAATTTACATTCTGAAGTTACCAAATCCTGAATTATATACTACTATTTCCCCTGCACTTCTCCAAAAGCAAGCAGAGCCTCCAAAATGTAACAAAGCACTTTGGTTATAGAAAGATTAATCTTTCAACTGCAATCATATTCAAAACTGAAATTCATTAAAACACAGTATTTAGGGAACATTTCCTTCAGGTTCTTAATTTCAGAATCAGTGTACTACTACAAAAGCCTGTTCATGTTTCTTTCAGGCTAATAATGCTTCCACTCTAATCTCCCGTACAATATTAAAGTATCAAAATATCTAAGCAAGGAGACAGCCTTCCAAAAAAAGGTAACTGTCTTCCTACATCAGCTATTCCTAACCTATCACATGATGCTGCTAAACTGGACATTATGTTAACTAGAACACTAAACCAAGAGACAGAGTTATAATCATGAAGAGTTGAGTAATTTAGATGAAAAAATGACAAGCTTTCAAAATGAATTTGTGATTTCTATTGGTAATTGTTTAAGTAATCATTCAGAAGACCTAAAAATCGTCAGAAGAATTCGCTTTTGAAGAGAGAGCTCAAAAATCAATAAATTCAGTGACAGCTTTATTAAATTTTTTTTCCCCCAGAAGACGACCAATATGAAATGAATAATTAGAAATACCTCAAGTCAAACAGCCTTTAAAATAAACAGAGTGCTATGCCAAAAACCACCTCACCTCACCTAACCCTAAAACACAGGTTCAGCAACAAAACTGGGACCTAAGCTAGTTCAAAGAACATCTGCTCCTTGAAAGTAATCAATATTAGCTTAATTTTCTGTCATTAACTGCAGCACTGATAAATCCCATTAGCTTTTAAAAAATAAAGACAATCCTAATCAGTTTTCAAGTCCCATAAATGCATGGAATTAGGAACTAATTAACTATTGCTAATACAAAAAAACAAATGCTATTTGTCTGTTTTATTAAAAGCCCTTATTAAGCTTACCACAGCACACCTAGAGAAAACTATGTTAAGAAATTGAGCAAGTGTTCACCCGCCAGGCCACTCAAGAGCACAAAAGTTCTGACAGACAGACAGACAGTTTACGCACAGCCACGCTTTAAGACACTCCGCTTGTGAAGAAAAGGGGATGGTTTTCAGCAAAACCTCATTCCAAAATCATGTCTCAGCTCAGACTTCCACCCTCCCACACAGAGAGCCACGGGAAACAACACTCCAATGCAAAATCAGAAACCGATGAAGCACTGGTACTTACTTCCCAGACATTCTTTTTGGGTGGTACTGCACTTTAGGAAAACTATCCTCGTGCCAACGGGCAAGCGGTCAAGTCAGCAGTATTTTACACACCCGTTTTCCTCAAGGGTCCACGTCGGTGTTGCAAGTCCGAAAGCCCCCTGCCTGGCTCTGACTCCTCAGCCTAGACCCGCCACGCAGCTCCCCGGCCCCGGGGCGAGCTGTCACACCCGCAGCGGGTCCCCGCAGGGCTGTCGCTCCCGCAGGCAGCGCGGCACCGCGCTCCGGCTCGTACTTCTTGTTCTGAAGCAAAGGCAAACATCCTCCCG